TTTTTTTTTTTTTTTTTTTTTTTTTTTTTTTTTTTTTTTTTTTTTTTTTTTCCCCTCAGGAGTTTTGCTCGATGTGGATCCATCCCCGTTCAATCTCGCACACACACAACTTCCAGAAGCCGAGGTTGTAACACAGAAAATACAGTTGATGCTCAACTCTTCAACGTTGTTGGAAGCCAAGGACTTTCTGGCTCCTTTTCATGTGTAAGAGAATATCCAGGACTTGGTTCTGCTGCTGTGACGAAGGATGTGATTTCTTCATTGGCGTCCGTTGGGTCCAATCCTTTGAGGAGTTGTTAGGGAGCTGTCAGCAGGATCGGCATGGAGTCCAAGACCCCCTAAACTCAGAATATAGCCCGAAACTTGAATACCCATGGAACTGGAATTTTCAGACACGGAACCCATCCCCAGGTCCGGGATAAGCATATCTGTAGCGTAGAATAAGCGCCTGTGAAAGTCTGGTTCGTGATGGGGATGCCCGACGGACCGCTGCTGTCAGTCGCTCTGAAGGAAATCGTTTCAAAGTTGAACACAAAGGGCAACCGCTAAGACCCGCGAACACTTCATCGTGCATCTTGTTGACCCCCACCAAGCCATGTACGAAGACAAAAAGAGGTGGTCCAATATAAAGACAATAAACACAGAAAAAAAAAAGAGAAAAAAACTTTTTTTTTCTCCCTCTACTCCTCACCTCAATACGTACTTCTGGTTTCTTTTCTTCCTCTTCATTCTCTTATACCCTTCTTCCATGGAAAAACCACTCCCTTCTCTGATTTGAGCATTGAAGGCCGTGGCAGTAAGAAAACCTATGTTTCTCTCGACCACTCCACAACTCGCTTCGTTTTGGCAGACCCTAAGCAAAGTGGGTTCCCGGTGCTGTGTACGATTGACAGGTACTTTCGACATCCCGTCGATCAGCAAAGAACCACGCATCCTCTCCTGGGCTGAGTGACTCCAACTTTGTTAGCCACCGAAACGTGGCATTAATTATATACGACGATGCAGGAGAATTTCTTTAACTTGTTGCAATCATGGTAACGTCCGGAGACTTGCTGACAGGCCTCCGGGATGGCGTTGATCGAACCCAGCAAATAAGCATGAAAATCGTGATTGATCCATGTTGCTTGCCTTTAATTTTTTTTTTTTTTTTGGTATCACAATCTTTTCCCCTTTCACATAGGTTTAGTCACTAGCACCTGCGCCAATGACTCAATATTCTAGCCAACAACGGCCACTCAGAAACCCCTCATTTCTTTTTTCTGGTGTCTTCAGAAGGATGAGAATTGAAACCTCTGCCCGAATGCAGGTATTGATCTGTACGATAGAAGGCTTCGCGGTCGTGAGTCGTCCATCTTTCGGCCCTTACGAATCCTAGTCCTGGCCCTTGAGACCCTTGCGTGGCTATCGCTAATAGCTGGCCTCTCGCCGCTCACCTTCCTGCTGATCTTACTAAGGTAATAGCTTTCCTGCTGATGCTCCTGAATTTCCGCGCAATGGCACACTGCCGCATTATCGATATGGCCAAGGGCTCCATTGAAAAAAAGAATAATGATAGTGGTGTTTCCTGAGACCGTCGCCCGATGTTTGCTTGTTTGAAGGGGAAGGAAAAAGAAAAAAGAAGAAGGGATTGGCGGGCTTCTAATGCTAGTAGCTTTGCAGCTGATGCGGCTAGATGCAGATGCCACCTATTAAGTTCTACCATCAGTATGCGTCAGAAACGCAGCACAGCACTGGAAGGAAGACCAAACCCGCGATAAGAAAAAAGAAAGCGTAATCCTCAGCCGCGGCTTTACACGAGTGCAGATCAGGGATCTTCACATCATGCATGGGAGGCAGCGTAGTCCATCAAGACGGTCAACGTTACTTTAAGTAAGGCTAGCTTTTCGTTGCTGAGTTTCGCCTAGACCAGCGAGGAAAACCAATTGTCCTTGAGGATCCCATCAGCAAAGGCAGATCGTGCAGGGCTAGGCACCTTTATGCTGCATCAAACGAATAACCCGGTCTCTAATGGACTGGCAAATTTAGGTACTTTATCCACGGACGTCCAATCATCCTCACAGCGCAACGGTCTGGATGTGTGGGGGGACCCGCGGACTCTGTGACCTGCATGTCAGGACACAGGGAATGTGATGCATCCACCAAACTAGATCATTAAATATGCAACAGCTAATAGAGCTGAAATTCGAGCCCGATTTTCCTCCACAACCGCACGTTGAAAAGAGGCCCACTCCCACAGCCTCGTCCTGGAATTGTTGCGAGCCGCGTTGTATCATCTTTCGGAGCACCGTGGTTATCGACGGTCATTTTCTTCTGTTCCTTTCCTAAGTTTTCTCGAAGAAAAGAAAAGCCCTTTCGACATTAGGGAGTCCGGTGTTGAGGGAACGGCCTTTCAAAGAGAATCTTATTCATCGCACAAAACGGCGGAAACAGCTGTATTGACGGGAATAAGAGGAAAAGGCGAATCGGTTCCGGGACTGATAGTAGTCTTCTTGTGAGGAAGGGAAGAAACAGCACACTTGTGGTATCTCGTGACACAACTCACGTTATCCATCACGTCGAACAGTTGCTGGGCTTTCGGGCCACCCCGAGCTTTCCCATCGACGAACAATACACGGCAACTTGCGCTAAGAAGGTATTTGCAAACAGGAGAATTAGAAAAAAAGAAATGCTTCGTGACAGAATCTGGTTTATTAATGATCCTTTAAAAGTCAAACCAACGGACATTGAGTGGGCCTAAGGTGCCCTGGAATACTCTCTTTTGACCGTCGCTCCTCCCTCGGATCGCTCTGCTTGAAACACGGATCCAAACGTGGATGACATAAGACCTAGGTTGGTTGCTATCCGGTTATTGTCTTGCATTGATATGATATTTAATTGTTATTTGGAATGATTGACGCTAATTTTAGTCGTCAGGGGAACGTGACGTTCGTATTTGAAGGCTAAACACTAAGAGGGGGAAAAGGTGCCCAAGCAAAAGGGCGATCTACGGATGAAAGTCTTATACCCGACACGCGAACAGGCAGTCAAGAGTTTAAGTACTGTGCAGGGCCGATCTCAAAGACGCAGAATAAAAGGAGACCAGACTCTGACTGGAATGCTTAGGCGCGTGCACCGACCACCAAAGAATCCTGCCCTGTCGTCAAAAATTGAATCGGAGACCCTGCGTGGCGCCCAGATACGGGTCAGATCACCTGCATAGCCGGCACCATCTCCGCTCACACGAGGCCAAACCGTTGCGGCTGTGGGTTGGGGTTTGCTCGGGGAAGCGAGTGTTGGGCTGCCGCAAACGCGGCGGACTTCATGCTTAGCCCAATCAGTTGTTGATCGAATCGCCCTAGGCGAGGTAGACTTTGGACTTGCGCAGGTGGCCGAACTGAAGCTCGCCTTTGATTGCCCTGTTCTTATCATTTAAGAACTTGCAAATGTGCGCATCATCTCTATGTCGCTACGGTTCCTGTCGGATCGTCGAGACTGATACACACCTTAGCCCGCTTTCTCAACCGTGGTCGACCCTTTGACTGGCAGCAACACCGCTTGGAACTTGACGGCCGAAAGGTGGCCGGTGCTGTTCTTTGCTTTGGTACAGCTCCACCATTCTCATTTGTCTGGTTCAGCTGGTTGTCTTCTGATCCCAGTCTATTAAAATTTTACCCTAAAACTTTTTTTTTCCCTCGTCTCCTCATTATTTTACCTCTAATAATTTGTGTGTGTGCGTCAGTGGCCTGTCAGGACCCAAGAGGCGACTTTTTGTTGACCCATCGTTCAGCTACGGTCTATCAATTAGGCGGTGCTCAATCCCGCGCCACTCGCTGCTCGCCTTAATTTTTTATTTTTTATTTTTTTTTAGTCATTTCTATATTTGTACTTTTTTTTTCATTTTCTTCCTTGCTTAAATTTTTCTCTCGACGTCTAGATCAACATCTATTGGATGATCTAAAACATCACGGTCGGAGAGCAGTTTTTTGACTGATATTTTATTTTCAATTTTTTCCTCGAAGGGTGATTTGGGAAGGTTGCATTTCATCATCTGATCCGCTTCGAGGACCAGAAGAGGAAAATTAAAAGAAAGGGAAAAAAAAAGCATAAAAAAAAGAGAGGTGTTCTTGAATTGCGAAGGCAGCAAAAAAAGTGGAGTGAGAAGAAGAGAGAAGATAAAGAGAGAGAGAGAGAGAGAGAGCTCTCAAGTTTGGTTGTTTGCCCTCCACCTGCCCGAGTTAAGGTTTGTCTGGAACCGTGCTCGGTTGGCTCTTGCCGCTTGCATTCTGACGACACCATCATCTTTTTCAACCTCTGCGCCGTTTTCGTAACCAGTTCCTCAATCTCGCAAGAGCAATTGTCGTCTCAGCTGCTGCAACAAGCGGCAACGTCGATTGACTCCCACTCTGGTCTCCACCCCGGGCCTCTTAGGTTCTAGTCGAAGCTCTATCGACTAGCTAATCACCGTGGTGTCCATCATTAACCACCATCTCCCTCCCCCATTCCCCTCTACCCCCCCACTGTGTATCATTCTTTCTTTTAGTGCTTCGTCGAACCACAAGTTTCCGGCTTGAGGTTCCAGAGTCCCGTGGCTTTTTTTTTTTGCCTTGCTGTAAAACCACAGGATCTCTCTCTCTGCCCTTTCCTTCAACTTGTCTTCCCCTGAGTATCCCACACTTTCATTCGTGGTTCCCTGCAATCTTCTGAACGGGTATCCCGACCTGGATCCTTTGGCACTCTCTCCTTTTGGGTTCGTCTTGCTCGATATCTCGCCTTTATGAGTGCGTCAACGTTCCCGGACGCTTCTCTTACTCGCGATCCTCAGAGGTGTGTTTTTTCGAGCTTCCCTTGTGTCCCTACTAACTTCAACTCTTACCCAGTTCCCCAAGGTTTCCCGCTGACCATGTTGTCCCCCAGTTCTGACTTTGAATTAATCATCCGCCAGCAGCCCACTCGGGCGCGCGTGGCCGGTGGGAAGGAGAAAGGTACGTGAGCCCGCAAGGTCCGGCAACTGGCGGGTATTGACTAGAGGTTGGCTACACAGAACGCAAGCCAGTCGATCCCCCACCGATAGTGCAGATCCGAGTAAAAGAGGAAGGAACTTATCTCGCGCAGTAAGTGGCTCGAGTTGAGATGATCCCGCAAGGATCCGCTCACTAACAGATGCTTGTAGACACTATCTGCAAAGTCCCTATTATTTTATGTGCTGCAGCTTGTTCGACCCCTCAGATGACGTTCCAGTCCCCGTGCCGCCATCTACGGCTTTGACCGGTACTTTGGTCTCGTCACTTCATCGGCTGAAGGACGTGGACAACACAGGTACGTTGACCCTGGTGGATGTGGTAGACGTTAATGTGACTGAACTGACTGGTCCAGATGGGGGCTTCTTTGTCTTTGGAGACCTGTCTGTGAAAGTTGAGGGAGACTTTCGGCTAAAGTTCACGCTCTTTGAAATGCGAAAGTAAGAACACTACATACCTTTCATCAGGGACTATTGCGTGAGACCTGGGGCGCATTTGGAGAAACTGAAGAAAGAACCGTATATGCTGACTTGGCCCGCAGGGATATTGTTACGCATCTGAAGTCCATCATCTCAGACCGCTTCACTGGTAAGGTTGCACCGAGAAGTTGCTCTGCTAAAACCCTTGGCGCTGACGAGCCCCAGTGTCTCCCCCAAAGAGTTTCCCTGGAATGGCAGAGTCGACTTTCCTATCCAGATCATTCGCAGATCAAGGTGTAAAACTCCGGATCCGAAAAGAGCCGCGGACCTTGATGTGAGTGTCAGCCCATACAAGAAACGCCCGTCTCCCATACTGCCGGGGCTCTTGAACTGACTTGAGGATCAGAAAGCGATCAGTCCCACGGCCGGAGGATTATCCTCAGCCGGTTCCTCCTCGTTCTCCAGATCGTTCTTCGATTCAGATGCCTGGTAATACCTTTGGAGGGTACCCAACAGCTGCAGCTGCAGCGAGTCGAGACTACGGTTATTATGCCGGCCCGGTCAAGCGGCAACGCACGTCAATCGACTTTGGTAACCGAGGCATGTATGACGATGGGCGGATGCGCCAAATGGAAGCTTATCCGCAAACCGCGGCTATGTATGCAAATCAACCAGGGGCCTATCCAACTCCTATCATGCAAGGGTATCCTACAGGACACACGGGTGTTCCAGATTACGCGGTTCGTTAGACCTCGCCTAGCCCGGTACCTACGTCACCCCCGTCGACAAGATCCCATAACGGCGGGGGTGACGATTAACGGGCTAAACACCCATAGTGCGTCATTTCATTACTCACACTTCGCATAGATGTCGTACGGTATTCCGCCCTCGGCTCAGGTTCCTCAAATGCAAGACCCAGGGGCCCACAGTCGGTCAAGTCAGCAGGCGACAATGCAGTCGCTGGGCATGGTAAACCCACCGGGCACACCTGTATGGGCACCATAAGCCACTGAATCCTTTGACGAGAAGCTAACTACCAACATCCTTGAGTAGACGGGGGATTCAACGGGTGCGATGATGCAGCAAGGGTATGCACGGCCACAGTACCAGGCGAGCTCTACAATTCTTCCCCCTTTGCAACGGAGTCGCAACTTTGCACAAGGGGCCAACGGCGCAACAGCACGAGGGTATTTTGACCAAACTTCTCAAGCAGCAACCCCCATCCTCCCCTCACAGCCGCTTGGTACGAATGAGGCAGATCGATATGGCTCTGCGCCTGGCCAGGCAGCTTTCGAACACCCCGGCTCGTCTAATGGAACACCCCGCTAAATGGGCACAGGCTTCGTGCTTGTCATCACGGTATTGGTAGGATTATGGTTTTCATGTTATCTCGTTTATTTTCTACGTTTGCTTGTTTGGGAATGATGATACGCCGCGTGGGACGTTTGGATTCGAGTACCTTGGATTTTCTTTCCGGATAGACTGTCGGACTGGTGTTTTGTCTTTTTTATGGGAACAGAATGGGTGGCTTCCGGGAGATACAAGGCGCTTGGGGACATAAAAAAGGGAACCCGTATTAGCGGGGCATTCTTCTGATGGTTTGTATTACGATCTTTGCTGCCTTTGGCTTTGCTTTCAGGATAAGGAGATGTTTTTGACTTCCTCTGTACATATTTGCTTGAACGCTATCAGGATGTGAGGTGAGGTGAGCGCGGTGAAGCTTACGACCTGCGTTGCTTGATAGGATTCTGGAATCCATACTATTATTAATCTAAAAAAAAAAAAAAGAAAGAAAGAAAGAAAAAGACTCAAATTATTGTAAACTGACCTGGTCTATTGGTCAAGGTTCCTATCTAGGCAACCGGGCATGGTTGCCAGGTGATCTTTTCGTTCATTCACTTACTCACTTTCGCTCTCCCTCACCCCACTTTACTTCCACACTCTCATTTTCCCTCTCATTGTCTCTCCTTATCATAATTGAATCCCAACTGCGTCTCGGATGTACTCGTCCTTTTAAGTGGCCCTCCTTCCGTCGCGCGTTGGACACAAACCATGTCGTCTCCCGAGCTAGACCCAGAACCCCAGGGCTCACCCCAGGTCCGCAATCTGGAAATCAGAGGCACGTGGGACGGTGAGGTCAATGGGCGGGCAGAACTTAGGATTTCGCTCGAGGTATGTTGTCGTCACATAGAACTTCATATATAGTTCGTATGATAGTAATTGCCAATCTACAGGTACAAGGCACCCCAAACACGCGGACACAAATATTTGACACTAGGTCGCCTACTGTCCTTTTGTGCAAAGCCTCAATTCAATTTCTATCCAAGAAATGGGGTCAGACTAGTCAGCCCAGCGAGGTTCCCCCTCAAAGCCCTCTGTTCGAATTTTTTGAGCCAATCTATTCTGATGGCGAGGAAGGCCGTATGGACTGCGTAGGCTTTTCTGAAATTCCAGAAGCCATCAACGACCATTCCTTTGTCAAAGTTTATGGCGAAACGAGCTCTACAACTCGTGTACTGGACCCAGACCATGAAGTTGACGGCTCCACGGAGAGGTCTTTATTGCCTGGTGGACATTCCCCTGGCTTACGTCCTAACTTTGCAAAACGCGATGACCAGAGCAGAATGTTGAACCTAGGGAAAAGAACTGCTACAGATGCTTGCTTGGCAGATGTTGACTCAAACTTGAAGGATGCCCAACCAGACCGGAAAACTCCATATGATGGTGACATTCACAATCCCGATACGCCAGACTATCGTCCAGATGTACTAGAGAAAACAGCACACCCTGAAAGAGACGATACGATGGGAAAAATAAGTCAACGGCGACCATGTTCTTATCAAGGGATTTACAGCAAGCCAGCCTTACTGTCGGAGATGGCTGTGGGAGTGAAACAGGCATCCAACACAGAAATATGCCTTGCCGATGCACATGGTATGTAAAGCCCAGATAGTCCTCACAAGACAATAATAGCTGACACAGGTTTGCCACGAGATGGGGAAAGGCTGGAAATCACCTCGGCAACTAAGAACCCTTGTGAAATCAAAGACATGGACATCGGTGGTCAAGATACAATTCTTACAACCCTCATTTCTTCCAGCCTTGGCCAGGAAAGCGCGTCCAGCGGCCCACCAATGCCTCCTATATCTGGTACAGAGTCGGTGAGAGAACTTGAGACTTACTTGATCAACAACCCCACAACTAGGCCAGCTCCACCGCTAGGAACAGAGCAAGAAGTAGGCTCAGATTCTGATAATTGTGAACGAAATCCCGCCGGGCATTACGAACATAATCCCAATGATACCCACGAACCCGTACACCGTGTATCTTCTGAGAACGAGCCCGATTTCAACATGGTTGATAGTATTCTCTTCGTTCAGCACCCGGAAAATGTCCGCGCAGGAATTTATAAGGTCGTCGTCACCGTCTCGATCGCTCTGCTCGGGAAGATATCCAATGATTGGTATGATCTAGTCATACCAGGTCTGCCCAAGCTGACGACGGGGGAGAGTGGGTTCATTCTCTTCCTGATTCCTGACAAGTACGGTGTTGAATTTCGCACTACAGATCTCCGCAGATTTAGAATGGTGGAAGATTGCTTGTTCGCTGAATTTGTGAACAAGAGGGATCTTGTGATACCAATGCGATCTTTTGACCAGAGAAATTATGGCATTGTCAAGGATTTCGTCGTGGACCAGGAAATTGAAGCACATCCTTTATTAAGCCCTGCCTTAGAGGATAATAAGCACACACATTCAGCTTTGTCGGTGAGATATCATGCAATGTGCTCGCTGAGGTTACATGAACGCTGCTTCTGGGCGGAGAAGTGCTGCTTCTTTCTCGACATAGACGGAGGGCCAGAAGGGTTTTTCCAATGCAGATTCCAACCCCCGGATACGAGCTTGCAGGTGGTCTACATACCCAGTAGTAGTTCACATTCAATCGGTATCTCCCACCTTCAAATCATATGCTCACCAAGAGACTTGGAAATGTTCTGCATCAGTTGGCTAGTCAACATGCCTTTCCCAGCAAGGAACTGGCTGCCGCAAATCTATCCTGGGTCAACAACTAATGCTAATGAACGAGCTAAGAGTCAACTTCGCGCTACGTTTACTAGGCTATATGCCAATGCATCCACTGGAGAACAAAGCTACCGATGTACCATATCCGCTCTTGAAAGAGAAGATGAAACCAGCGGAGGAAGTTCAGAAGCTGTGAATGGTGGTGATCAGTCTGGAGATCCTGAACGGATGGTCAGATTTCAATATATGGGCTCGGTAATAGAAGCTATTTCAAGGCCGTTAAGAGCCATATGGACGCCAACCAATGTCCCTCTGCCTACCTGGATAGCGTCTCGGAAAACCTTGTTTGTTCTCGCTCTTGGTGTTGCTTTTACAGTCTGTGGCACGCTGGGATGCCTCCTCCTCAGCCATGCATACTCTAGAGCTTTCCGTCGGCCCTGGGGACCGGCTATTGAGGCAAACGTTGGCTTGCATGATAAGTCGAGAGTGGACGGACAGATTCCGGGTTGCGGGGAGCCGAGCTCTAAGTATAACAACTTTACTGAGAGGGTTTTCAACCAAACCCCTGACAACATTGACCACGCATCGCTATTCGATAACAATAACACTAGTAATGAAGGAATCTTGAATCAGCAGGAAGCTATTGATTTCGATGAAGACGTTAAGGAAGTTGAAGAGCAAGTACGAGCGGAAGAACAGACAGCTAACGCACCCGCACCAGTCGTGGAGTCAGGTAAAAAGTTTTCCTTGAGGGATCAAATCGATTATCTACTAGGTTGGAAAGGGCCCATTTATCGCATGGCATGAGCAGGTCGGTCAATCGGGGAGTCGTTATCGGTTGCACTCCGGATCGATAATGACAGAAGTGATGAAAATGAAACGGGACACATGTATCTCTACGGATCACATATATCGTAATCCATATATGCATGAAACGATTCATCTTTCTTCTATTTGGGTTCTTCCAAGATAACTCGGTTACTATCGCCGTTGAGTGGTCTCCAAGTACTTCAACACCTCCTCAACCGCCCACTCTAGAATATCTACCATAGGCTTGGTGCCCCGTCCAGGAGCTACAATGACACCAGCATCTGTTCTCAGGTTCACTCCTTGTCCCACTTTGTTGATCAACTCTTGAGAGTTTGTGCTCAAATTGCCACTCTTCTGTGAGTCCCCTTCAGGCAGGATTAACCATGCATGATCCTGCACATACCGCGGCCACACGATATCGTCCACATAGCCTGGTGGGTCCGTCCAGAAGTTTTGCGGCGGCCGATCATCTTCGCCCTCCAAGTCCACTTCATCGGATACTGAGCTTCTTTGTGGTAATGAAGTGGGCTCTGGTGCAGGCCCACTCGTCACATACCCACTCCGACTCTCACGCCGCGACTTCACCATATCATATGGTGCTGGCAAAAACAGATGCACGTCAATGTTCTCATGCACGGGTCGAAGAACATGGTCTTTATCCTCAGATTCGGGAGGGCTGTACAATAGAAACCCCTCCAGAAAAGCAATCGTACTCTGAACCGGAGCTACAGTGCCTTCATTTCCGGAACCTGGTTGCTGCCGAAGAAGCGAACGAAGTCGACCCCCCACTTCCTTCTGCAACTGAAGAATCGTCCCCTCATCAACACCCGAGTCTGACTTCTCATTGAAATCCTGGATACTCTTCAAACGGGGCGGAAGATGTCCATGGTCACGGACGTAAGACAGAGCCGAAGATAGGAATTTAACATCGATTGCGTCGATTGTATCCCAGTCTTGGACTGTTTTCCCGGATGCGGTCGTTGTGTATGGAATTCTGGGACTTGGTGTTAACAACTCCGCTTTCTCTTATTCTGTCTCAACTTTTTATTTTATTTTGAGAAAAGAACTACAGATAAAAAGAAAAGAAAAGAAAAATTCAATCTAGAGTTCCTCGCAGGTATGCAGGGTATGTTGTGTACATACCTATCATCGGGGAGATAAAAGTCATCCTCATGGACAATGAACGTGAAAAGACTCTCGTTCGCTTTAGAAAATATTCTCTGTAGCAGTCGAGCTAGGGTCGTTTTACCGCTAGATGAGGGTCCTGAGATCCCGATTACAGCGGTTCGGGACGTCATTGTGGTGACGCTTTCTCTCTCTCTCTTTTCGTCTTTCTTTCAGGCCAGGAGACGGCGAGGAGGTCCGCTGAACGAAAGCGTTTATGTGTAGATTGACGGACCCCAATGGAACCGTTCCGGGAAGGGAACCGTGACTTCAACTCTGATGTGGTATTGATAGAAGGTGGGGGGGGAGGATTTATAGGCAGTGTGGGTCTTTATACATGATACCATTTCTTAGCGTGGTTTTTGGTTTTGGGTATGCTGATTCTTGTTAATGCCTTGGTTTTCAGGTGTGAGTTCTAATGTTGCTTGATTGCCGGATTTGGTTAGCGCTGTTGTGTAGCTATTTCTGGAGGTATGCGGGTTTATTATGGGGTATGTTTTAGGATTGATATTAGTAGCCAATTTTATGATAGAGATTTGCATGTCTAGTGGGTTTTGCATATTTGTTTACTTGGGAGCTTATATGTGGGCACTATTTCATAATTTAGCATCATTTCTCTAACAGTACTCCGTACATTAATTCAAATCATTCCTGTCCGGCATCCATCCAGACAAGTCAAGCTGTATATAGTATATCATACGATATATTTCTCAGAGGCACCGCCCCACGAAGTCAGTTGAAAATAGATACATGGTTATTGGTACTCTCGTCAGTGCCGTCGCTGGAGTTCATCAATGACGGAAATGTCTCAGAGGTACCACCAGAGTGCAACCCAGTGCCATCCGATCTCCTCCGTTTAAGCACCCCCACATCTGAGTCTCTCGTGGTATCCATGTTCATGTCAATAGGACCGGATCCCCGCTTGCGGCTTCGGGGGGCTTTCTTGGCAGAGGAAGGGGACTCGTTCGCTTCGGGAATTGGGAGTCCGTGGCGGTCGAAGAAACCGGGCGGTTGCTTCAAGTACGCTGGGCCGGTGAGGTCTTCGTCATCTCCCATGCGGAGGAAGTGCTCGTTCTGGATAATAGAGCTCATAGTGCTATCATCGAGCAGGTCTCTTTCCGCTTGCTGCATTTCCTTCTCTGACATGGTTTTTCTGCGCTCCAACATCTTGTCTTCCAGGGTGTCTTTGAGAACGAGAGTCTCTACGAAAACTGGTCGAGTCTGGCCAATGCGGTGTGCTCGTTTTATCGCCTGGCTTTCCACGTTAGGTTGCCAGATAGGGTTGATAATGAATACGCGCGAAGCATTCGCAATGTGTAACCCATGAGATGCTTGATGTAGGTCCATTAGGAGAACCCGGACGTCATCCTGTTCTCGAAATAGTTCCAAGTAAGCTGCTCGAACTTTAGGTTTCAATGTGCTCGCGTAGATACGGAAATCAACACCAAGCAGCTCAAGCCCTTCTGCGATCCAAAATGCAGAGTTATTGTTATCGTAGAATATGATGATCTTCTCTTCTGTATGAAGTTCCAAGACTCGATCCAACAAATATGTCAGTTTTGCAGATGTTGTTGCAACCAATTTTGTCTGTGCAAGAGGAGACGATGGCGGTAACGTTTTGACAGTACAACTACTCAGCTTATCAGGCGTGGTTTTCTTAGTTTTCACGGAATCCGGGTGTCCTTGTCGGCTGGATAGCGCAAGCCTAGCCTTTATGCCCGCTCCAGAAAGACCTTCTTCCGGATATATCTCATTGAGGCGTGCGGTAACAAAATTCTGGGCTTTGTGGGCTTGTGAGATACCCAACAACAGGGGCTCAACATCGGATCGCGATGGTGAGAGTGCCCACATGCCCCGAGCATGGGAAGGAAAATCTTGGATAAACACTCCCAATTCGTGGAATTGTTTGAAAGCGTTCCAACTCTGGCAGGCGATCGCCCTCTGAGCTATTTGAATGCCCTCTGTGAGCATATCCACGTCATTTCGAGCCATTCTCTCTCTGTTTGCTTCCATGTAGTTCAAGGCAACATCGATCGTTCCTTGGATGTTACCATCGGAACCAGCCCACCAAAAGCCAGCCTGTCGCAGGTTATTAATCACCAGACTCAGATGTTTTCTGTTACGTGGATGGAACATATAATCCTGGTCCTTGCGTTCGGAAGTGATCGCGTTGACAGCCAGGATGAAAATGAACAAGTTGAGATTTAACTTGTCATAGAACGTCGGCTCGAGACGCACGACCCTGTTGTACAACCTTGGAAGAGGAACCTCGCTATAGATAACCTCCATGCGGTGCCGCACGACAAGACTTTGTAAGGTCGCACGGAGCGACTGTGCCTTCCGGCGCTTTCCATCCTCTCCGACAGGTTTCATGTATTTGGTCCAGTTAGCTGGATCATTGGCTTGAGAATTTGACCATGGTTTCAAATCTAAGAACCCGACAACAATACGTCGAATTTCATCAAGATCTTTGAGTTCACTGTCAATAACAGTGGTCTTCTCTTTCCCATGAAGCACAGCCGCTGTAGCCTCTGTCAGGTCAGAGTCACTAGCGACATTGGCCTCATGCGAAGCTAAGCTGACCTCGACTCCATATAACCCACTAGACGGCGTTCCAGACACTATCCACCGACGCTCGACGTGAAGCTGGTCCAAAATGTGAACCATGTTTGTTCGATGGCCATGACCAGCTACATTATGACCTTCATCAACAATGATCCGAAGCCAATGGAGTTTCGTTAGCGGTGATGAGTCTGGAGTGGCTGAACTTCGTCTATTGTTGATTGCTGCACCTGCTTCTTTTTCAAAGCGAACTTTTGAAAACAAAACAATATCAAATTCCAAAAGTTGGTCTGGTGGTGGTACCGGATCTGCGCTGTTCTGGATCACGAGAACGTTGACTCCTTCAGCATGTTTGGCTATCTCATCTTTCCAGTGGTTTACAAGGTTAGGTGGTACAACTACCAAAGTAGCTGAACAGAGAAGAATCTGCTGAGGAGGTGGCCTCGGATAAGCCACACCAGTCCGGCTTCCGTATCTTGCTGGTGGTGGAGGTATGGTATATGCTCCGCGATGCTCCTTACATACTTCAATACATCTACCAAAAAAGGCACCGGCACGCCTCAGAAGATCGAAATGGCTCTTCCAAGGCAAGGATAGTCGGCCTGCAGTTGCGGCTGCCATATTGAGAAGACTTCCAGTTTGTGGCCGAACCGGGAGCTCCACGTCCTGATACTCTAGAGGAACTTGAGGAAAGTGACCTTGGGTTGCCAATATGACAGCTATGCATATAAGAGTCTTCCCGCAGCCCATAGTCTCAGCAAGTATGCCTTCTATAAGTCAGCAGATCAGAAGGTAAATTACTCAGAACAACATACCGCCACGAGGCTCTGAATACATTCTCTTTTCTTGAATGATATTACCTTCCTCTTTGTCGTAGTAGTATTCCTGGCCTGTAGGAGTGACATAAGGCTTGAGTCGAGGATCAAGCATGGGTGCTGGCTGCGCCTCCCGCTGAATCATGGCGGCAGCCGAACGGCGCTGATAGGGGTATAGGGCCGTTCGCAAGGACGGAACGCGAGAATATTGTCTAGGTAGGTCTGCGCCGTTGTCGGAGTCATCAAGGCCATCCTCACCCCTTGTGAGTGTTACCGAAAGCAGTTGTTGCATGGCTTTCTTGGTGTACTGGTCTCTCATCGAGTTCGGATTGGGAACAGGGTTTTCCAAAGTATTGAAGATGTACCACAGCGACTCATCATCGTTCGAGTTATGGGAGCTACTACTGGTCATATTGTCTAGAGAAGAGCACCCAGACCATGCTGCGGGCGACCGGTCAATCTTCGCCATGATGATCTTAAGTGCACGCCTCAAAGGCGTACTCGAGCGTGGGATAATCTTGCGACCTACATCATCAGGCAAGACATACACGCGAATATAACTCCAGCGATGGTCTTTCTGATATGTATGGGTCCAGATCCAGTGGTGTTTTTCCAAGTTAGAAACTTCTGATTGGGGGAAGTCATCACATTGTGTCGATAAAGCATCGGTATCTTGCGCGATGTACTTCTTTAGAATACCCACTGGAATGTATCCATTGCGATTTTCAACCGATCCGTATGTATCACTTGATGAAAATTCCTCCGTTGGTATTGGTGGGTTTTCATTTTCTAACTCTGGGGTCATGACAGCCGGTATATATGTAGCCGTGCTGCCTGTTGGCTCAGGGACAGAAGGATGATGATTGTGGATCCAGAAATTGTTATCCTGTGTTGATACACAAGACATTTCTTGGGTCTGTGATATCTGAGCGTCTGGCAAACGCATAGTCCAGAGTATGATGGGTTTCCGGAATGGGGAATGTAAGGAGTTCAAACAATACCAAACTTTGGAATGACCAGAGTCAGTCTCAAAGAAAGATATACGTCGCGTAGCTTGGTCATTGACATGGCAATATTATATAAAAATGTTATCGCAACATTACATGACCAACAATCACCATAGAGATGACATGTAAAGGGTCATCTTTCAGTGTCTAGTCAATCCTGTATTCACATCCACTGCCTCTTAGTGCTGATATAGGCCTCTGAGGGATGTCCCAAAAGAATTTCGTGGTCGTTTTATGTGAAAAGCCCATTTAGTCTCGTACGAGGGACAGGCATGCACCTCTATACTCTTTCCATAAGATAGACAGTCCAAACGGCTGGATGGCGTCGCAACATGTACTGTGGTGGAAAGCAAGGGAGCGATAAGATGGCTTCCAGTTCTCGGAGTCCAACACTTTCTGATTGGCTCGGATCTTTGACCGCCTTAGGCTTACCACTTAGGGTTATATTAGCTTGCGGCCATAGCTGCCTTCAGTATTAACCAGTACTAAGTACTACGACTAAGTTGTGGAAAGAGTACTGGAGGTGAAAGTTCATTCTATTAGTATTAAAAGTGCTATAGTATTTTATAGTCAAGGCATGTCCACTCCTAGTAACAGCAGCTGGTTTAACAAACAATATTGATACTAGAAAATAGACATTTGTCCAACGTGAACCCCAATCATATATGTACGCCATTTTCATAGATCAAAGCGAATTAACAGCATTGTTAGAAAGCCGCCCAGATGTGTGGCTTCCACTATACTCCACTGCCGTATGAGAAATCTGTAACCGAAAAAACCCTCACCACGTCCTGTTTCGCAAATGCAAAGAAAGAAAAGGAGAAAAGAAATATATAATGGGGGACTAAGATAGAGACAGAGAAGATCAATAAGAGAGTCATTGGGTGAGGTAGTCCTCAATTTCAAATCCCACGCGTTTTAAAGTCTTCTCTTCTAGTTCCCTTGGAGAACCAGCTGCTCTCCGTACCACTATAGTTCGCGCGTCATGCAAGCGAACTTCAACGGGGTTCCCCCCAAATCGATCTAATTCGTCTTTCTCGCATTCCCGAACATATACTGTGATATCTGGGCCTACACAGGCCCGCCAGAGAGATGCCATCCACTGCCAATGATCCAGTGGCGCGTAAGAGTCTCCGATAGGCACGGAGCAAGCGAAGGCGTCGGCTGTGGTAAGCTGGTACCTAGGAACCAGGGCCACAGGTACAGTAGAGGGTGCTGATCCTGAAGACGATGAATATGATACAGATCCATTCTCACTCGACTGTGCCGGTGAACTGATATGTATTTCGGCTCCTTTAGAAATAGAGCCTTTGGGCGACGCTCCTGGTGTTGAGCTGTCTTCATCCACCGATTTCGGTTCCAACGACCCATACGAGGGTTTGACGAAGCCCACGATTTCATCGGAAATGCGGTGCCAGGCTGAGATAGTGTTCAGATAATCAACAGTAGCATCACCCATCTGGCCAGATTCAGAGTAACCTTCCCGCAGACGGATATCGGGTCCTTCAAAAATGTGGGTGTGGTATTTTCCTTCCTTCTCCATCGTATTGTTAAGAAAGTCAATTACTGACTTCACAGCGACAGGGTCTTGGCCGTCAACTGATACCACGGCTCCTCGTCTTCGTGAGGCTCCATCACGGAAAGAGGGGAGGAGCGGTGGAGAGATCTTAGCGAGTACCTTGATCTTGTTAAGGAATGGGATAGTCATCACTGTAGCCTCCAAACTGGAGCCTTCCTGACCATATTGAGTCACTGGAGTCGCAGAGCTGGAGACAGGTGCAGTTGTCTGTAGCGGTGGGAGCTTTAGACTGGGGTCAGGTTGGGGGTAATCCTGAACACCCCGGTAAGGTCGTGGAGGCTGCAACATGTGGAATGATCCACGAGAGCCCGGTGCCTCTGGGCGAGTGGTATATGATGATATTGGGTATGAGCCATCCGGGCTTCTGTCTCGGTGAATACTTGCTTTGCTTGGCAGCTGTGTGCTGATCCGGCGACGCTTGGAGTCTGGGGACCCATTCACAGTCTCTTCCCATTGGCGTTGCCGTGGTGGGAGAGAGTCGCCATTGCTCCCCATCTTGATAGGGTTCGAGGGTCGGTCCGAGTCTTTAGCCCGGCACGGATAACTGCGCCCTGTGATCGTGTCGTGCTGTAATGAGGCTCCATTCCCATGGGAAGAGCCATTCGGATTGAAAGGGGCCTCAGGTGATACTGGTGGATTCATCACACGCCCCCCACACCGACTACAAACAGTAGAGCCCGGAGGGTTATGGCTGATGCCGGAACTCGAACCCCGGGGGTTTCCGTCCCTGCCATAACGCCGAGGCTGATACCGATACTCAGGATACTGCTGCTGATGCCGAGCCTTCTCTTCCTATAATGGGATTAGCATGATGAAGAGCTCCGTGATCAGGACCATCTTTCAGTTTACTTACCTCTGCTAAGGCTTTCCATTCATCCTTTGTCTCTTGAGGAAGCCGTCTCCACTGCTCGCCGATAATCTTTGATATATCGGGGTTAGCAAGACCCGGATTCTGCGCGACCACCGCCGCTTGATAGTGCTGACGATACAGGATGAAAGCTGGGGTAATGCTATTAGTTCTGGGAGTCATGTCTTGGGATGAATATCGTAAGAAGAAAGGGATGCAAGCATACCATTTCGAGGTCTTGGGATTTTCGGGTCCGGCTGGCACAAACAAAATTGTGTCACAGACTCCCTCGAAGTAGCTGACTTGACAGGACTTGAGGATGAGGAGCGTTCTGATACCGAGGACCGTTCTCGGAACGGGATGCTCTTTGCTGGCAAAGGAGCCGCGGGCTTTGGCGGCTCGATGGGAGCATTGGAGGCTATCTTGTTCAGAGCAATTTTGGCCCGGTTCAAGGAAGAGAGATGGACTTGAGGCAATCCATCGGCTGCATATCGACATGAACTCCCCACAGGAATCCCCTCCAAATGACGGTCCAGCATGGACACCTTAGAGACGTTATCATTCATGATCTTGTGCTCGAGGAGGTTACTGGTCGGCCTGGGAAGAGTAGCTTGAGGGGAGTCATAGTGCAAAGCAGCGGGTTTGGGGAGAACTCGATCGAAAGACATTTAAAAGAGGAGGAGGGAGCGAAGGACCTCTCTGGTGGGAATCGAGAACGTGGTGCTGGGGGTGAAAGACGAGGGCCTCATTAGATGAAAGAGTAGGTATGGTGGTTATAGAGAACACACGCCCCGGGGACAGGGAAGGAAAAAGAAACGAGAATGAAAGAAAGAAACAAGATATAAGGTTATAATAGAAGGCGGATCCCTCGTGCAGGGGAATTTTAATCTCCTTTTGATTTTGTTCTCTTTCCTTTTCTTTTCTTTTTTCCCCTTCTCTTTTTTTGTGTGTGTGTGTCTTTGTCTTGTCTATCTTGATTCCCTTTCTGTTATTTTGTTTTGTTTTGTTTTATTTTGTGTTTTATTTTTTGAACTTTTGCTTCTTTTCTCTCACCTCGGTCAAGGAGGAGTGTATTTTCTTTTCTTTTTTTCCTTTTTCTTCCCCTTTGACAATAATGTATGGACACAAAAACTTGAACCAACCAGGTGGGAAGGAGGACAAGATAAAGCCAGGGATTTGGCTTTTTGAAGTGCTTTGTTATAAATCTATCTTTGGAACCACTCGGCTTGGTTTGCCGCCCTCCTTAAGGTATAGTACCTCCTGTACCAAACCACAAACCACGCTTTTTCTTTTTCGTTTTCTTTTTCCTTCTTTGCTTTTTCTTTCTCTCCCGATTTCCTTTTTTCTTTGTCTCTCTGTTAAGAAGATGACACAAATACCCTCGGATACCCTAAAAGGGACCCCCCTTCTCTCCCCACCAGGATAGCAGAATGCCATAGATGAATGGAACCTCCATAGATAGAACTGTAACGATAGTCCCACCCCAGTAGGATGGATTAGGAGGTCGTCGTTCTTTGAATCCCTGGTTATGAAACTCGGAGTATGTCACTAACAAGGTGCAGGTCTCATAGACATCCATTCCCATGGTACTCTACAATGGACGGCGAGGGAATGATACAACGTCCGTGCTACATACTAAGGACTAGTTACTCAGTAGTGGTGGATCAGGAGGGTTTACGGGGAGGCCCCAAACCAAAAAGAAAAGGGAGAAGAGAGAAACGAGCCAACTGTTGCTCAAAGGTACTGTACTTTTCCCCAATGGAAAAACCGGTGACTCAGCTGGGTTTGGACCAGTCCAGAGCAGAGGACAGGTTGAGAAATGCACCCCCTCTCCATCAATGCCTCCACTCTCGTCGCTACTGCTACTTAGTAGCTTTGAGCAGGGGAGGTATTGTTTCGATGTTTGATTTTCCAGCCATCCTTTGTCTGCCCCCCGACGCCCGCATGCGGTGTCCAGCAGGGATTCCGGGCCAATCACCACACTCCCTCGTCGGACCCTCCGTGATTGGCCCACCTGCAAAAATGACACTTGCCTGATTAATGTGGATGGAATCAGGTGAACCAACCATGGAAGCATCCAAGTCACCGTTACTTGAGGGAAAGGTACAGGGACTTAGCTAGACTACGACCGATTGAGTTAAGGTAGGCACTAGTCCCAGTCAGCTCCTAAACTACCCCCACAGTTAACTGGGACCGACTACTAGTAGTAGTCGGGTAGCAAGCAACCTTTACTTGAAAAAACGGAACAAAGAAACAAGCAAATGAAAGAAATGTCAGAATTTAAAAAACAAAATATTAGAAAGTAAAATAAAATAAAATAAAAATTATTGAAAATAATTTAAAATAATTTAAAATAATTTAAAATAAAGAATCAAAACCAGAGGGGAAAAAAAGGGAACTTCAAAGAACAAGAACCAAAAAAAACACAAATCACACTCTTACAAGCCGCAGTCCCTCTCACAAAGAACTTCTTTTCTCTCTTGGATCAAAGAAAACGATCGGCGTCAAGGTGCTGCCTCCAGCCAGCTGGGGAAGCCTTATGTCATGAAGGTTACAACTTGCAGGCCGCCCAGGGTATTGGGTCGATCTCCCATTCCGTGATCGTCGCTCCACAATCACGTTGCAGTGCCCTCTTTACTCCACCATTTTTGAATGGGACATACCACCTCGCAAGATCTTGGTTTTCTGGATCCGAGATTTTTCATCGTCAAGATTCGGCAGACTAATGTCTTTTTTTTTTTTTTTTTTTTTTCTTGTAAAGAAAAGAAAAGAAAAGAAACAAAATGAGACAGCTAGAGGCTCATGATTGGTGCACAGCGAGGCTTCTGGGAGACATAGCCAAGGTCAAACGAGCTGAACAGAAGGGCTTCTTTGTGAGCTCGTCAGCTGAGGTCATCCTGGCTGTGTTCCCTCTGCAGCAAGCGTTTGTTGTGTGTCGGGAACCAGCGGTGGCCTTGTTGTCTACAGAAACACACCTCCCCAAACAACGAATTACGTCGAGATTGCGCGTGTCCCATCCGTGGTGGTGGTGTAAACGAGAAAAATAAAACATTATTTATGCTAAATTCTTTTTACTTCTTATTTTCTTTCTTTCTTAGAAATCCACCTTTATCTGAGCCACATTTCTTCGATCCCGTGAAATATTTCTGTACCCATGAGTCGGTGGGCCGAGGGACCCAGATGCATCTCGTTCCTGAAGATACGGTTAGTCTGGCTCGAGTCACTGGGGTCCATTGGTAACATGTCTTGATCTTACCAGAATAAGAACTTCTCTGGGTTGTCACATTTTTTCACCTCTGATGTCATCACTAGTTGGTGTTCATTTTCGACGCATGCGTCGTCGACATTCTCCCACCCGGGTTCCTGGTTCTTTCCCAGCCCATTGGGTTCTTCAATGCCGGCAGCAAATAGTTGCCAATCACGGATCAGGTCGGCTAGAAAAGCGTTCGTGTCGAACAGATAGATTGTGCCTAGGTCCCATTTTTCCGCAGCCTCACGAAGTCGGCGGTTCCAATATTCCGTAATTTGGACCGCCTCTTTGTGTCGACCGATATGGCTTCTTGTGGGCCTGAACGCTGGAAGGAAGGTGACATCTGGTGTCAAGGTCAGAATGACCTTGAGCTCATTCGTGCCCAAACTCTGAGACAGCACATTGAGCTGATCGATGATGACACCGATGCTGCGGTCCACTGATTGCGTTGCAGTGTCGTAGTCGTTATCCAACATGTTCCACACATCCCAAACACCAAAGGAAGCGACAATAATGGTGCGGTTTTGGCGGTGGCTGATCGCTTCGTTGTCGCCCGCTAGGTCTTCTTGCACAGCACGTGCCTCAGCAGCGGTCCACTGACTGACCTGGGCCTTGAAGTCGGCCAGCGGTGACTTGTGTAAGTTGAGTAAGGAATCTGGTAACTCGTCATTGTCTACGACCGAGCCAATATAGTTTCCTCTGAGGGACTTGGCTGTCTGCGCCATATTCTCATGATGGCATTGAAACTAAACCGTGAATGAGCTCATCGTCAATTCGGGTCCTGAGACGGCCTTTGTTTTTGGGTTTGCCTACCTTTGAACAAAGCCACTCCGTCCAGACAGATCCTTGAAGCTCGCCCGCATTGTTGTCGCTCCACGAATCACCGAATACGACTAACCTCCGATCAAAGGAGGTAGCGACATTGAAACTGGAGTCTTCACCATTGGTCGGCACCACTCGTCTATAGTATTGCTGGGAAGCGAGGAACCAGGCCGATAACAGGATACTGGCTACCGCCAAGGCGCATACAGTGTGAAACTTATTGAAGAGGCGCATCGCGGGTTGAAACAGAGCTAGTACAAAGGAATGGAAAGTGTGACAAAGGCGTCCGAAGGCTGTCCGTGTGTAGATGTCGGCGGTCGGCAGTCTCTTTCGCCGTCGCCTACCAATCTCATCCAACAGTGGTGGATGTCGACGTCAAGTGGCTGTGGATATTTCCTCTCTCTCTCTCTCTCTCTCTCTCTCTCTCTCTCTTTTTTTTTAATATTTTTTTTGAGACACTTGCGGCTGGAAATGACTAAAAAATTTCTCAAAAAAAACTAAGAGTGTCTATGTCAATCGGAAGTGCCGGTTACGGATCAAACGAGGCCTTCCCCCTGAGACAGAGGGGAGGGTTGAGGAATAAGAATCGTATCTTCGGGGGTACCGTGCAGAAACCGGGACTTGACAGTAAAACTAGCGTAGTGATGAGGGTTGATAAGCCAGGTGGGGAATATGAGAAGGGAAAAGGTTCCTTGACAAGGACAATAGAAGGAGGGGAACAAACGCAAGGAGATGACGGGGTGAAGTTAAAAGAAATTCGAATACTTGGTAGTGGGTGAGGAGAAAGACTGAAAGATGATTCAAGATGTCTGTAATTATGGAAAGGAGAGGAACTACCGCATTGACACAGATAATACTAAGAATAACGCCCTGGGAAGAACGTTGTCGACCTGGCCTAAGGCGTTCACAATATGCCATTCCCCATAATAAGGCTGTTGTCCGCGCGGCGACTCCGGATCGGTCAACCAGTCGCGTGCGCGGGTCATTGCGTAAGGTGTCCACCATTCTGACTAGAAACGGTCTTAATGGCCGAAAAGCTCTTGCAGGTTCTTCTTGACGGTTTCTTTTGCATAACGCATTGATGACTAAGTTCATAAAATTTCCGGTGGATACCTACTTTGTGCATACTTCCTAGTTCAAGTTAGGGAGTTGTTCTCGCCATGGACGTTCAGTTGCAGACGGGGAATACTCCGTCCAGTGTGGATGCTAGGTGGATTGTAAATGGTGATTGTTGATAGGCGCCACTTTGATCTGTATGTATCTTCCGAGGGGGCTTGGGTCAGTGCTTCGATAGTTAAGTACCGATGTGAGTCTTTCATTTTGAAGATGTCTATCAACATTCATGAACCATAGACGATTGAATCTTTAGAATTGTAAGCTCAAGTGCGAGAGATAGCTACGATAAGAGTAGTAGTTATCGCCAGGTGACGCCTCATTATACTAGTGAACTCTCGCATAAGGTACAGCTGCTGTTCGAGTCAAGAAGAACTATGAGATGAATGTACACAAGGAGGTGTATTTCCTCCGTATTATTTTATATCCCACAGCCTGGACAGATGTACATGAATCGGAGATGATCTTGAATCCTTTTTGAGTCTGGAAAATTCCCAAAAGGGGAAGCGGCTGACATAAGAAGCCCTACTTCGCGGCGCTAACCCCAAATGGGGATGGTGGATGTTAGTCAGCCGCCCACAGAGGGAAATCTCGCTACACCACAGCGGCCAAAAATCCCAAGTACTGAATCTCCGACGACCTAACCTCCTCGACCTGTCGACAATACCCGCGCCCTCCGTCTTGACCGCGCAGCTCCGTCAAGATGAAGCTCAACATCTCTTACCCGGCCAATGGGTCGCAGAAGATCATCGAGGTTGACGATGAGCGCAAGCTCCGTCCCTTCATGGAGAAGCGCATGGGAACCGAAGTCAGCAACCCTATCTCCCTATTTTGAACCACGCCCCTTCGATCTGCAACTTGAACATTCAACACGCGAAGATTTTGGAAGCAAGAAGACTGATTGGGGAATATCTACAGATTGCCGGCGACTCCCTTGGTGATGAGTTCAAGGGTTACCTTTTCAAGATCACCGGTGGTAACGACAAGCAAGGTAGGACTGGAATTTTTTCTTTATCTATAAAGATCTTCCTTGATTGTGGGATTTGTGTGGGGTGGAAGGAAAGACAGGAATTGCGGGACAAGCCTGAGCCAAAATGCTGACATGTACTCTTACCAGGTTTCCCCATGAAGCAGGGTGGTATGTAACCAACCGATATCAAACGCTCAGCAATCATCAGCAGGAAAACTCATCTATACAGTTCTCCTTCCCACCCGTACCCGTCTCCTCCTCGCCGATGGCCACAGCTGCTACCGCCCCCGCCGCACCGGTGAGCGTAAGCGCAAGTCTGTCCGTGGTGGTATGTTTTGAAAATGAGAAATTTGTTGCTCCTGTGCGCATAGTTCGTTTGTTGACGACTTCCCACAGCCATCACCAACTTCGATCTCGCTGTCCTGGCCCTGAGCATCGTCAAGCAGGGTGAGGGTGAGCTGCCCGGTCTCACCGACACTGTCGTCCCCAAGAGACTCGGCCCCAAGCGTGCCACCAAGATCCGCCGTTTCTTCGGTCTCGACAAGAAGGACGACGTCCGCAAGTTCGTCATCCGCCGTACCGTCACCAAGGAGGGCAAGCCCGAGTACACCAAGGCCCCCAAGATCCAGCGTCTGGTTACTCCCCAGCGTCTCCAGCGCAAGCGTCACAGGATCGCCCTCAAGCGCCGCCGCTCTGAGGCTGCTCGCGAGGCTGCGTAAGCTCCCTTGTTCTTCCAAGTTCATATCCTCATTCAGGTTTACTAATTGCTGCGAAACAGTAACGACTACGCTAAGCTCCTTGCCACCCGTGTCCACGAGGAGAAGGCCAAGCGTGATGAGCTCCGCAAGCGGAGGGCCTCTTCTATGAGGAAGTAAATGCATCTTCTCCGGGGTTAATGGTCGGGTTACGTCTCTATTATGGCTAGGGAAAAATCTCAGCGGACGAGGAAAGGGGGCTATCGAGGTGCAAAGCAGGGGTGTAATCCAAGAGAACAGAATATATTCCTTGGGGAACATGCGTCTGCGGGACCGAGGCTTTAGCGTGCTACCTTTTTCTTTTTTAAAAAAGCCATATCCACAGCTGGAATGAAAGGGAAAAAATGTGAAAGAAGTTTTCTTGTTCTCGGATCCACATTGCACGGTAACAGGGTAACGGTTCCGCGGGCTGCTAGCACTGCTTGATAAATGAATGAAGCTCGATGTTTTTTGTACTCACAATTGCAAATCCCAGTTTGTTTTCTGTTTCCTCTCAGAGGTTGTCTTTCCCGTATCACCTAGTAGTAGTATCATCGCCGACTCTTGTTAAGCATAAGGAGTACGTACCTAACGAGCGACGAATGATAGTGGAGTCTTGCACTATTGCATGGTGCACTGAAGCAATAACCCAAACAATCTTCCAAGCCGTGAACAGTAACATTAGCAAGCAACGTGAGCCAAACCGTCAGATTCTCAGATTTCCTCTATCCATGAAAAACAAAAAGAAAAGAACAAGAAAAACTCCTTCAGTACGTGTATATGTACAAATGCATAATTCAATTCATCGTAGGCGCCGCAAACTTTTTCGGAATTTACCATCCCTTTTCCACCCATTGTTCGTGCATGCATCATGGCCTTATTCGTGTTATGATGGTTATCAGAGTATAGATTTCTTCGTCTCAAACCAGAACACAGAGGATCCATGGCCAGCGGAAAAATTGCAAATCTCAAAGCCTTCAGCATTTGAGATTCAACTCGAAGAACCAAGGAACGTTCTCTTTACTCTGTCCCAGTGAAAGATCTCTTTCGATCATCCCTACCCCACTGTAGCAATTTAAGCGACAGCGTGGGAGAACAAGAAACTCACAGACTCGCCGTTATGCGTACGTCTGCAGGCCTCGGCAAGAGTAGGGCTGATATCGATAGTCTCGATCTTGTCGCACTGCTCTTTCTTCTCTTGGTGAGGAACAGTGTTGGTAACCACAACACGCTTGAGGCAGCTCTTGTTGATGTTTTCGATGGCCTTGCCGGAGAGGATACCGTGAACGACGATCGCGTTCACCTCCTTGGCTCCGTGCTGCATTACAGTATCGGCAGCCTTGGCCAGAGTTCCACATGTGTCGGCCATGTCATCCACGATGATGGCGACCTTATCCTGAACATTGCCGACGAGAACCATGCGGGAGACCTCGTTCGGGCGAGGGCGTTCTTTGTGGATAAGTGCGAATTGCAAGTCGAGACGGTCAGCGATAGCAGTGGCACTGGCAACGGACATAAATCAACACTGAACTTGACAATGACCATGATTTAAAAAGAGTAATACAAAAATGCAGCTGACTTACCGCTTCGCACCACCAGCATCTGGACTGACGATGATACAGTTGCTCACATCCAGGTTCTCCCGGATCCACTTGAGAATACTGGGTTCAGCGTACAGGTTGTCCACCGGAACGTTGAAAAAGCCTTGGATCTGGCTGGCGTGAAGGTCCATGGTGATCACATGATTGCAACCAGCAGTCTGGAGCATGTTCGCCATGAGTTTTGCAGTGATAGGCGCACGGCTCTTGTCCTTCTTATCTTGACGAGCATAGGGGAAATTGGGGATCACAGCTGTGATACGTCTCGCAGAAGCTGTCTTGCAAGCATTGATCATAATGAGCAGCTCCATCAAACCGTCATTTATGTCGTTGGGCTTAGTAGACTGCAGAATGAAAACATCCTCATCTCGTACGCTTTCACCAATGGTCACGCTCGTCTCCTGGTTGGAGTATTGAAGGACCATGATCTTGGTCAGTTCGATGCCGAGGCTGATGGGACAAGTAAGGAGTCATTAGCCAAAGAAAAACAGCACAACATGTGAAAGCTTATTCAATGACAACGGATCGCGTACCGATCAGCCACAAGATTCGCAAGCTCAGGGTGACTGTTACCAGTCAAAAGCTTGATGGAGTTGGCAGCCATGGTGTCTCGAAGTCAATTGTCGACTGGGTACAGATTATGTGTGAGTCAAAGAAAATAGGTTTGTGTAGACCAAGGTCGGCGAATACGACAACTGAAGAGTTCTAAGGACTGAGGAGAATCAAACCCCAGAGTCGAACAAAAGGTGATATGATAATGCCCCGCGGCAACTTTTTTTCCCCAGCGGAAAAATCACTGCGTCCCGTGACCCCCCGGGCTCGCTGCTGTTCACCGCCTACGAGCTTGTGATCGAGAACATGATTGAAATATGCGGTAAGTTATTGGGAGATCTAGAAGAAAGAAGGAAAAAAAGAACATAACCCTAAATACATGTGAAGAAAATGAGCTAATTAATTTTTCACAAAGCCAAATCGCTCTATTCCTGGTACACTAGTTGACCTGCACTTCAACCAGCTTCCAGTCGCGGTCTGAGATTTTCCTCCCCTTCGTAATACATGATCGGTCCCAGTAGCAATACAGACTAGGAAAGAAGACAACAAGGAATAGTGTAGCTGAACGCCGCCAAATGCTCAAGCATTAGAACAGGGGTGTTGAGAAACGAGGAAAGATGCAAGGAATCGTGTAAAACCAGCAATTATCGCCCAAGCTGTCTTGAAGAGAGCACCGCCACCAATCTATGCGAACCCGAAGTATTCGCTACCAGCTGTCATGGCAGTATACAGCCGTTGTCTCAGAGTCTCATAACTTTCGTATTCCGGGAGATCAAGCTCTGCGCCTTATGATTAGTAACCTGTAATATTGAATTCGATAGTGGCAAATCAAAAAAAAAAAAAAAAAAAAAAAAAAACTTACGGTTGAAACATGTGTGCGCGCTTGGGAGGCGATCCTTATTGCCATAATCGCGATGAATGTTGAATCGACTAACTCCATTCATACCTTCAAGCTCCTTGAAACCATTGAGTGGCACCTTACTCGTTCCGGTGACAAATTGCAGCAGCTTAGCCCGCTCTTCTTTGTCAAATGAGCGAACGGCACGCCAGAACCATTGGATTTGAGGCGACGAGGCCGAATAGTTGTGATACTCGGTATTGGCCTTCCAGTCGTCCACATCAATCTCGGGAAGACCGGAAATCAACAACTCAAGTTCTTGCTCGTTGAAAATCGAGATCAGATCTGCTGGGATGATCTCATGGAACCCTATAAACCATTGTTAGCTGATATTCTAGATGATCTGTATGAAGAGCGTGACATACCTTTGAGGAAATTGTCGAGCTGCTCCTTGACGGATCGCACGAGACGATAATCCACGACACGCTGCACGTACTCCTCCTTGTTTTCTTGAGTGACCGGAATGTTGCTTCCATTTTCTATAAGATCAATCACTTGCTTCTCACCAAAGTCATCAGTCTCCACGGCGAAAGTTTCGGTGATAATGTCAGTGATATCGTTCTCGAGCATCCAGAGGAGAGATTTGTAGTAGTCGAGATCAAGTGTCTCCATATCCTTGATAGATACCGAACGTCCAAGAATACACTTGTAGACAGCGCGGCTGAAGTGGCAATCGAGCACCCGGCCTTCGTACAGAGCCTTGCCAATGATTCGTCCAATGAACTTAAAGAACATAAGATGCTCCGAGTTGACACCGCTCAGGCGATTAGGGTGGAAGGTGGTCCGGTCGGCAGCAACAGGAATAAACAAGGCATAGTTCGGGTTGAACATGCCGCGTGCGAGAACTTGGAACCATTCTCTGGTCACGCCTCCCGCGTCAACGCCCTCTTCACCGTGGAAGCGCACATTCAATTTGCCGTACTTCAGCTCATCTGCCGTCTTGAAGTATAGGGATTTGAACGAGTCAAGGAACACTTGATCTCTCCTGACAGAGAGTTGAAGGGGAGGGTGAGGATGACGAGGCTCTGCACCACGGGAATGGATACGACGGGTGAAATAATTGCGCTTGTTATCGAACTCCAAGACCTTCGGATTCTTGACAAGTAAGGAGAAAGTGCCGCTCATCAACCTTGGGTTTTGACGAACAAGTTCGTTTAGTATCTTGCGATGTTCCTCTGTGAACTTGAAGAAGAGACCCTCCATATTCAAACCAGCGCCGACAGACAGCTCTCGAGTGTTCCGAGAAAGAGAAGTCTCTTTCAGCGAGGTGTTCTTGCAGACGACCATCAATGCTTCGATCAGGGGTAAGAGGATTGTTGCGACATTCAGCATATTCTCCTTCTGCCGTATAAGTGTCAAGCATTCACTCAGTCTTGTCCACAGAGGACCGAATGTAGAACTTTCGTACAAGGTCTGTAGGACGTCTTCCTTAGCTGCCTGCTCGGAATCACCTCCCTTGGCCTTCTCCGATCGGCTGGGATCAAACAAGTAGTCAAGTGCCGTCAACACACGTAACAATTTCGCTTGGTCAGAGCTAGCTGGCGAGAATTTAGCCAGAGCAAGGCCCTGCATGTCGGTGCCAGTCCGAGCTTGATTAATATGGGACAATAATTCATCCAGGTCCGTTAAGATAGTAGTGCTCAAGTCCTGCGCCTGATGGACTAATTCATTTCCAATTACATCCCTGGCTTTAGGGATGGCTGAAAGATTGTTAATTGTCGAGAGCGTTTCCCTAAAGGTTTTTCCGTTGCACTCGCGAGCGGCAAGTATGTGGACAACAAGCTGCAGATTGTGGTCTGGAACAACAGGAGGTTCTATAGACTTCTTTTTATGTTTCTCCTCTTCGCTCGAACCCTTTCCTGTCTCTGATTTAGAGGTTTCTGCTGATGTACCCTCCTCGGGCTGCGCCGTTGTGCTTTGTGCTTCGGCGTTCTCTACACTGGGCAGAGGAGCATCTGTCATCGTTGTATCTGTAGCAGATGTAGGTTCTGCAGCATCGGACGGTTGCTCCTGTAGTTCCTGTTGCTGCTCCTCAGCCGGCCTGTCATCCTGTGCTGTCTCAGGCTTTTTGCCCTTGTCTTCTTCATCTTGCTTCTCCTTCTCACGACGAAGTAGCAGGGTGAGTGGCTGTGTGATGCTGCTGAGGAGGCTAGAAAGCTGCTCCATGCAATTCGGGCTTTCCATTATCAATTTTCGATCAAGGAGAGTAAGGAGCGCATTAAGCGCGAACTTATTGGCCTTGTTTTCCTTACCCTTACCTTTGCGGAAGGCCTTCAACTTCAATGTAGATGAAGGATCATGCTCAGTCAAGAAAAACCAGGAGATATGAGGGTTGTACTGAGACAGGAACGAAAGAGTCCCGAGACATTGCTGCACCACCATTACTGGGGTCACTTCATTGCTAACACTTGAAGAGGTTTGGAAGGCCAGATTGCGCTTGACAGACTGCGGGGTCTTCTGGATCGCGGAAGGTTTGGCCCGGAGCGAAAGTTGAGCAAAACTGCGCTCGATTGCAGAAACATCTGAGCTTCCGTCCTGCAAGACAGAAAGCAGAAGACTTATTACTTCAACTCGATTCTGGCGGTTTTCACAAACGTTATGCAGAATGTCATTCAACTGATGGCGTGCATTGCCCTGAAGTGGCATAAACATAAGGCGGAGCAACGTAGCAACACCGGCTTTGTCAAGCATTTGGACGATCTGACGCCGCTGTTGCTTCTTCGGCTCTTGTTCGTCGGTTGGCTCATTTCTTTGCCGATGATCAACTCTAGCAATGTCACCAAACTGGGTCAAGCGCCTTCCAGGGAGAGCTCGTGCTTCGGTGACAAATTCTGGCCCCAGCGTTGCTAGTATCTCCTCAGGTTGGTCAGCAAGTACGGCTTGTCGCAATGAAGGGTCCAGGGTGGCAAGGAAACTAGCGGCATCCATGTCTTCGGCGCGTGGAGGAGCGCCACTAGTGGTTGTTTGTCTGCGTGCACTTTCTCGCTCCCGACGGCGACGGTCGGCAGCTTCCTGCTGTAATAGCTCTTCCCGAATCTCTGGGGGCAAGGCTTCCAGGAACTCCGGGTTAATCTCACTGGGCTCTTCGCCAGCTGCAGCAGCCTGGGAGCGTTGCTCTGCAAGTTGTTGCATGATTACTTCTTCTCTAAGCTCCTCGGGCAGGGCCTCAAGGTACTCAGGGTCGATTTCCATTCCAGTAATGTCAAGTTCGCGACCTCTAATAGTAGTATGCACCCGAGGTTGAGGTTCAGACGGCCCCGTTTCTGCTTGGGCTGATAGTGTTGCAGCTTCAGCTTGGGTATCTGTCGGCTGCACATCGTCCATGGGCTCAGAAATAACACCCGAGGCTTGCCTTTCAGTTTCTTCATGCTCCCTTTCTTGCTGTCGCCTAGCATTTTCTTCCTCTTCTTTCCGCTTCTGCTCTTTTTCTTCTTCTTCCTGAGCAATACGTTCCTGACGTTCCCTTTCAGCTAATTCTTCCTCTCGTCGCTTAAGCTCCTCTGCCATCTTCTTCTCTCGCTCCTTCTCTTCTTCAATAGCAGGAGGAACCAGTATCTTCAGCAACGAGTTGACAACACGCTGCGTCTTTTCAACGTATGTGCTGCTAAACAATATACGGGCCTCTTCCTGCCAGCGACTTCTAGTCGTTGCCAGCGCAAAGCTCACAGCTTGAGATGGATCATCCCGAGTGCGAGACGGGGGTGCTTGCGGCCTACCAAGCCCAAAAATATCTTGAATGCGGTTGGGCAAAATAGCTCGTCTGTCAACATGAACATGAATTCCATCTGGGCGTGTGATAACGCCAAAGCCTGGAGTACCTTGGCCTCCAATGGCCTGCATAATCGCGTTCATGAAGCTCACAGGGCTGTCCATAGGGAGCAGGCGTCCAGTGGAAACAGGTTCCATGCCATGAACCCAATCGGTAAAAGCTTCATTGCCAGGTCCACGAGATTGGCCAGCCTCGGGGCCACGGTCTGTCCGGACAAGAAGAGGGTTTGTCCCATCGTCATTACCACGGGCAGGGATCTGAGTTCGGTGGAATCGGTAGGGTTGAATAGGAACGATTCCATGCCGGCCGCTACTGGGCATTATGCCTGTAACTGCAGCCCATCCTGGCTGACCACGGTAGCGGTGGTGATGATGTCCACGGGTTAGTGGAGGCTCATCGCCATCCCAGCCCCATGGTTCAATGAGGTCTTCATCTATACAGGATCTTCAGCACGCCTCGTTTCACGTTAGAGTAGATAGATGCAACTCACCATCGTCAAAGCCTTGATAAGATCCTTGATCTTCGTCGGCATCTTCAAGTTCCTCCTCAAGCTCATCGATTTCCTCATCTTCTTAGTGAACGTTAGTAATCTAAATCATGCATAGAACAATACTAGACGATACTGACCATCATCATCATTCAAGTCATCATCAACAATGTCATCAAGACTGTCAGGAGCCTGAAGATCCTCAACACCTCCGGCAGCTTCATTGAGTACCCGGAACAAATCATCAAATCTCTGTCCTTCATCACGCTGATCCGCTTGTCTAATTCCAGCCAGTTCGTCCTCGAACTGATTCATGATTTCAGCCTCCTCATCATCTTCGGACATCTCTTCGCTCTCCCATTCATCATCATCACCTTCCTCTAAACTCTCGTTGTCTTGGTCCCCTGTTATCTCTCCGGCGAGGATCTCGTCGTCCTCCATATCGGAGTCATCTTCATCTTCGTCATCATCCTCGTCATCATCATCCTCATCATCATCAATGACAACCTCAATGTCCATGCCGGAATCGCCAGGAAGGCCCTCAATGGGACCAACACCTTCAATCTCGTCTTCTTCGTCGCTTACGACTTCGCCATCATCTTCGGGCAAGTCTTCTTCATAATCCATTTCGTCTTCATATTCATCGTCATACATCCCATCATCTTCTTCATCCGATTCTTCGGAGCTAGTTTCTTCTTCATGACGAGGCTCTAACATACCCAGGGTGGAATGGCGGAAAAGGTCAGGGGTCTCTTCACGGTCATCTTCCAGGTCAGAAACTGAGGTGGCAGAGGATATTTCATCTTCCTCTGTTTCTCCGAGAGTAGAGATGTCGGACGTCTCACTCAAGATCACTGCCGTTTGCGTAAGTTTGTTAAGGGGACGCAGTATGTACTTGATGACCCGTTTAGATGCAGGGAAATTCAGATCGATTTCAGCGACCGAGGATGTAAGAGCGGCGATGAAATTCTTTTCAAACATCGTTTTTGCAAGCTGCCTAGTCGAGGATGGGAATGCAGTATCTCCGGAAACGAAAGCATAACCACTAAGCATTTTGTCAAATAAATCGGCCAGTGACATCAATCTAGAATACTTGGCATCCAAAGGCTCGTTTGACGCATTTGCCTCTTTGTATGCTCGCAGTGCATGCTCTAGAACGAACCTCCGCACAAAGGCAAGCTCGGGCTCATCTTCTTCATTCGAGTTTTGCTCGCTTCGGCGTCTGCCAGTCCCGCCAAACTCACCGGTCTTTGTGCACAACGCTACAAGCACACGCATCGTCCAAGCAGATGTGTTGGCGCGCTTCTTGAACGCAACAGACTCATCATGCTCCATGGTACCAATGGGGACAAGAGCATTCAGCAGGTAATTCAAAATACCCGCTCGAGGCTTGGAAGGAGTAGTTGCAAGCGGATCTGCTTTGCGAGAGAAGTTGATAAACTCCACCTTCGTGCGGTTATACGACGAAAGAAGCTCGGTCAAGCATTGAAGGAGAAAGCAGCGGTATATATAGATCGGGTGGTCATCTGCTTTGAAGGACGGTTTCTCTGCTTTCTTAGTATTACGTGTAGCATGCAAGTCAGTGGTAGAAACAGAGGGTGAAGGTTCATCAGTCGCCATTTCCACATCAGTTTGGGCTTCTGATTGTTCAGGCACAGATGCTTCTGTAGCCTCTGTCGAAGGCTCCTTGTCGTCTACATCCTTGTAGGATAGAAGCTCCGAAAGCAGGTAGTGGATGACGCCATCAGGATTCTCTACAACAGGCGGCCTCAACTCTGGCCCTTTGCCTTTGTCTTTATCCTCTGGCTGAGCATCGGCCGAAGTCTGGCTACCATCCATCGTGTTTTCTGTAATATCCTGGGCCGCTTCTTTGTCTGAGGAGCCAGTATTCTTGTCAGACTTCAAGGTGAGAACCTGTGGGCGTTGCCGGCTATCGTATCGCTGCAGCTTCAGTTTTTCGTTGGAGACTTCCACGAACAGTTCCGGCGACCTAAGGACGAGGTGATACATCTGCCGCACGTAACCGGTCGTGTCGATCTGGCGAGAAGATTTCGATTCAAAGTTCGCGACAATCTCACTTCTCATTATCTGTCTAATGGTGTCCTCGTCTTCCACAATGTGTCTCAAAATCAACATGAATGCACCCTGGAGCTTTTCATTTGTGGTGCTTGAAAGCTGCTTCATCATGACAAAAAGGCGCTGCAAGCTGCGCTTTTCGCCTAGGCGGGTTGCAATGCTGCGATTCCGAGTAAGTATAACAAGAACCCGACAAACAGAGAGTGCCAAGGTGTCATCCTTTCCAACTCTAGGAAGAATTTCGACAAGAGCCTCAAAAAGCTGCGTCTTCTGTTCATTGGAAATAAGAGGCTCGTCTAACTGAGCGGGAGCATCATCTTCCACACCTGGGTTATCATTATCAGGCATGTTCCATCGAATCTGAGGAGGTTGGGCGTCGTCAGAGAGCAATTTCTCCAGGACCAGTAGAACATGCCCGATCCATGGGAAGGACTCATCCGAAGACTTCTCGGAAGGCACAGAGATAAACCCGAGGAATGTAGTGAAACACTCTTTCAGTTCCTCCAGTGTAGCGTTATACATGTCTCTGTCTTGGACTACTAGCGCGAGGAGATGGGCATAAGCAGCCACCTTCTTTCCAGCTGCTTGGAAGTTCTCCATTTGCAATGAAACAAGAGATTGAACAAGGATCTCTCCAACCTCCTTCCGGAAGCTTTCAGGGTCACGGTGCTTCTTCGTCGCAGAAGCGATCAGGTCAGCCAATTCGAAGGACACGTCATGGTGCTCATTTAGGACATCTAGGCAGCGCTCAATCAGATTCGCCCGGACCTTCTCGCGCTCCCTGTCTAAATCTTCGACCGTGGTAACTTCGCGTCGTCTTGTCGATTGTTCCATTCGCTGCTCAGAGGATGGGTCTGTCGAATGGTTTGATGGCTCCAAAAATTCCCCCCCGGTAGGGTTGAGGTTACGGGTGTCCTCTCGGTCGCTGTCGACTGCGCTATGGTCATCATTAAGAATATGACTCAACGCTCGAGCTAGGAATTCAGAGCCATGTCTGACTTCGGTTTCGACTGGGCCACCCTGGCCTTGTTCCTGGCTTGGAATGTCATCCGATCGGCCAGAAGCTTGCGCTATAAGCATTGCAAGTGTCGAACGGTCGAGGAACCGACTGTCGAAAGACGAGGCGTCTCCACCGGCCGGCTCTTCGGAAGTTTCACCACCTGATGTTCGAACAGACTCAATGTCGTTGGGAGGTGGTGGTATTCTCGGAGCAGGTAGTAACCAGTCTTGTGCCTTGCAGTATTCTTCGGCTGGGGCATACTGGTTGTTGCAGCGGTACAGGGCCTCCTTTACAACTTCTAGATCGAAATCTTTCGCCTGCAAAGCGGCAACACGATCCCTGTTGATAACTAGTTTTCTCCTAGACACCTCAGTCAATGCGGGTGGTAGATTAGAGCGCTGGGCGGCCCCAGTTTCATATTCGCCGTCTAGCGATGAGCGCAAAATATCCACCAAGCACTTGATAACTGAACTTGAAGACTGGGTAGCAAAATCGGAATTCCACAAGTCCCGAGCCATCGGCAATATCTCCATCCGAAGGTCAACCAGGAATTGGCCTGGTTGGAAGTAGTCGGGACGGTCCCGCTCCCGGTCACTGCCCGTCATGGCTTGCGTTTGGCTAGACTCGACAATATTCTTGCCCGAGGCGAGCTCAGAGAAAAAGCTAAGTATAATCTTAATACCTCCATAAGCAGAAGTAAGTCGAGCTGACACGTCCTTCTCAGAGTCAGGCACCGACTCGGGAGGTGTGAGAGTCTTGACCTCACGCACAAAGACGTCGCAGATATCTTTCATGGCTTTCAAACCATGAATGCGTTTGAACGCAAAGAGGACCAGAGTGAGGTAATGAGAATGGGGGCGATCTGCAGTAGCTGTATCAAAGTGGGTTTATCAGTTTTTGGCCCTGTCTTATAACAGATAGACAACATACCTTCGTAAAGCAAATGCGAGAATGAGGAAAGGATAACAATGAGGTAAGCAAATCGGAGCTTGTGGTTACCACTAGTGTTCGGGGGCGCGAATTGGAGTTGCTCGAGCACAGCGCCCGCAATGGCCTCAGCCACCGAAGTTGCATTCTGCTTCTGGTAGAGATCTATCCGCCGCTTCCCAATAAGACCGAGGCCCAAATTGTGGAAGAAGCCCGTTATTGAGGAAGGCAAGGAGCTAAGAAGGTAGCGAAGCGCTTGGACATTCTTAAAAGCTACGCTATTTTCGGGGGGGTTAGAGGTATCTCCTCTGGGCTCCTGAGCGACACCTGGTTGAACAGGCTCACTCGTAGTCGAACCTTCGCGAAGAGGCGCAGGCACAGCTGAGCTTGTTTCTGCATTCGCGGCTCCCGAAGATTCATTAGGTTTTTCTGAACCCAGGCCAGTTAGTTGCACTTTCGTTGCCTGGTCCCAGGTGTCAGGTATATTCTTCTCTAGAAGAATTTCCTCCCACACACAAGCCGCATGCAAACCTCCGAGTCGTCCAATAAGAGAACAATAACGATCGGCTAGATTGACTTGTGCAAATGCAGAAGTCTGCTGGCTGGGTCGGGTCTGATATAATGGCATGGAGTAAACTTCGCGAAGAAGATCCGTTAAGATAAGTGCAGCCACCATATTCTTAGCAAAGTATGTCCCATTATCTTTTGCGAGTTCCCAGGATTTGTCGTCTTGTTCCTTGGGCTCATTCTCAAGAGGTGGCTTGATCAGAGGGGTGAAGAAACCTGATTCCCGGGGTCCCGACAGACGCCAGAACTCAGATAGTTGTTCCACAATCTGCTCTGCGCGATCAACAAGCCCGGGCAAGACAAGGTGAGGCTTCGTTTCCGCCAACATATGCACCAAAACAGTGAGCTCCTGGTTAGCATCAGTGTTATGGAAATCAAATGGGAGACTTTGCAGAGTTGCAATATCCAAAACGAACTCCACGCCACCACATTCGATAAAGTAGGTGCAATTCGATTGGTTTTCAAAGAAAGCACCTAAGAATCGCAATACGGGGTAAAGGTAGTCCGTAACAGTGAGACCTGTAGAGTCTACGTCCTTCGGTTCGATGTCGGTATTAGAGGCAGGGAGAACAAGGCTTAAATCGCCGGTTTTCATGATGCCACCGTCTGGTAGTGCCCCAGATTTGATCTCCCGAATACCAAGATCCGACGGTGCAATGTCCCCAGCGACTCTCGTGCCACCAATCTTTCGAAACAGATGATATGCTGGTCCAGAAAGCACTGGCTTTCCCAGGGTGTTATCTGTCCACAGCTTGGATCCCATGCCATCCGACCAAGCCTTACTCCTACACAGAAAGCCAACTCGTGCGACCATCACAATGACGGCAGCCATGATTGTTGACTTCAGCGCAGGATGATGCCGTACTAACTCATCAAACGTGGTTCCTAGCGAACGTACGAGGTTGGGATCATCTTTCAGGCATTTCACATGCTCGGGATTTTCGAAGATCTCGAAAAAGCTTTCCAGAGCATGGGATGACTGAAAGAGTTCAAGTCCAGATGAGTTAAGACAGATTGCTCCAAAAGCCGATGGAATGCATGATAAAGCTTCCGCTGCGGGCATGATACCTAAGGCTAACTTTGCATCCTTCGACCTTGCCAGCTCATACTCACGGGTCTTCTGAGGCACACTGCCCGACTGGCTAGTGTCGACCTCGGACAGTCTAGCGGATGATTCCCCTTCAACTTCAGCACCCTCCGTATCAACAGGCAACTTCTCTTGTGCTTTTATCTCACTGTGTGTGACAGCTTGTAGAAAGCTCTTGCTCAAACCAGCCTCAGCAATGACTGCATAACTAGTGGGCTCGTTGTGAATAAAACTACTAAGAATATTGACTGCGTTGCTCCAGACATGAGACCCAAAGACACGGGCGTTTTCAAAGACCAAACGAAGGGACGTCAGCAGTTGAGGTGAGTCAATCAAATTTCGAAGAACACGATCAAAACCACCGCCGTTATGCTGCATAATATGATTGACAAACCGGAACATCCACCTGAGTGTCTGCTGCTGAAAATACGGTATCTGGTAATCAATTGACGGGGTCTTGTGATGAGAAGGAATTCCTGCGCCGCGGGATACATTCTCGAAGGAAGTTTTGGTTTCAAAATCGATCAAATCCGAAATTGCGTCAAACCCCTTGGCTGCTGTGAGAGTCCCAAGCGCATCACGAACTGCATGGACAAAGGTATCGAGGAATTCCATAATTCGAGAATAAACACGACGAGCCTTCTCAGTTCGGAGGTTCAAAACATCAACGAACATGGGAATTAAGCCAGCAGAAACAAGGGTCTCGGGTGTCCTCGTGCTTGAGCCAGGAAGCGTTCGCAAAAGAGCAAGTAACGCATCCCGCCACTCATCCTCACTACCATCATCCGTCCTACTGTCTTCTGAGCCTAATTCATTGACAGCCTTCCGGGTCAGGAACATGAGAACACCATGGTTTACATTAACACTTAATGCAGCACAGACGTCGATTGCTCGTGATTTGTGTTTGGCCAAAGAGTCAAGAGCCTGGAGTACCAATGTTTGTACACTTCGAGAGACTGGAAGATCACCACTTGCGCCCAGATGAACCAGCTCGCCCAGTTGATAAGCCAGCTGCAAACGTTTCGGCTGTTCCATATCGTACTGGAGGATCTTCTGTTGAAATAGCGACTCGGGATATACGTAAGCCAAGTTGGTGATAGCAAGCAACCTGATGGCAAGAATCTGTTCGCGGCTAGAAGGAGATGTTGCCAGTCCCTGGGCAATCCGAATTCTGTGGAGCAGCTCATATTTGGAGTCGTCAGGCAACTCTTCCACGTGCAATGCAACAAGACTATCGGGTGTCGACGAAGAGATGCTTGAGTATGGAATATCAAGGACCTTTCCGCCCCTTGTCGCTTCTTCCAGTTTTCCTGAGGGAGTATTCACAGAAGAGCCAGGAGAATCCTCCATGATCGAGGTGCGGCTCAAACGAGGCGTGGGGTGGGTATGACTTCTACGCAGAGGTGTTGGCGTGGTAGGAGTCTGCGTCGGTAGCCCACCATGTACAACCTCCGATGGTGGCTTGGCCTGGTCCGAAGTGCCAGAAGGATAATAAAGCAGATGCACATGACCCCACTCTTCCCAAGCATCACTTTCGCGTACAAGGGCAGCCAGGTCGTTGGCATCGTGCTTGATTTGGGAACCTTTCTCCTTGCCCTTAACGCCAACAGAAGGAGATACAGGTGTCTTGTTCAATACGGAAGGGCGCGGGAAAGGCGCAGCAATCTTTTGCAGTTTTTCCAAATCAATGTTAAAGTGGGCTGCCAGGAGGCTCTGTTGGAGGTGGGTACTACCCCGCTGGCGAGAATGATATCTTTGAGCCAAAGAGAGTGACAAACGAAGGGTAGACTGGAGAAGACAAAGTGACGTGGTATTCAGAAGTTCCCCTAGCCGTTCACTGCTGCTATACAAGCTGCGATTACCGCACTTATCCAACAGTAACCTGGAAAAGTCGAGAATTGCTTCCAAGAGCTCTCTGTCACCCTCTACACCATAGCCAAGAGCGGTCAACTTAGCGTCGATATCCTCCGGGTTTGATTTGCTGTCATCACTTGCATAGGAGTCCGCCAGGACATGTCTGCTGAACGGCTTGGTTTGAGGGCCATTATTTAGACCATATTTTTCATTGGCAGTAGCCAAGATCTCGTCGAAGCGGTTCAGAACATTAATCCAATGATATAGATCACCTCTTGGAAAAGGCCATATGCGAGGAAAGGTGCTGAGATGTGAGGGAAGCTCGGGGACGGGTATAGTTGTAGCACGAGATACGAAATCTGACAAATAAGGGGACTATAGTGTAAAGGAGAAAATTTCAGCTCAGCTTTAAATCAGTACGGCAAGGCACGTGGAATTATAACTCACGATCGTAGCCTCATGTTTTTGGCTCGCCACCTTCTTAATTCTCCCCATGATGACGTTCGAAATCAACAGGTAATCATGAGGGAGCTGAGGATGGCCCCTGGAGGATTCCTCCTAGATGAGGGTGGGGAGGTCGTGAAGACCGGGACGCGGAGAACGTTGCGAGGCGCCTTATGACGTTTTGGGTACCTCTTCTGCCTCAACAAAATCAAAAGAGAGAAATGAGACTCCGGGACAGCTGTAACCAAGAATCTCGAGATTGCAGGTAGATTGAATAGCGAATGTAGAGGTGAAGTCCGACGTGGTCAAAGAGGTTATACCTGGATGAATTCAAAGGACTGAAAGAATATGATGAGGGACTGAGGTGGGTGTGTTGCGGCTTTCAGTAAGTACGAAGTACCGCTGGGCGTCAGAGGAACAGGGAAACGGTGCAGGTCGTTCGCCCTGTAAGGTTTGACATCCAGATCGAATTAAGACAATATTAGGTGAAAGAACCACACACAATGAATAAGGGGGGGTGGTGAGGGAGAGGACGTGGGCGAGGTTTGGATGGGGGTATAAAAAGAAAGATGAGTAAAGAGTTGGAAGGTTCGTGAAATTATCCCAATAATGGAGCTTCTTCTTGTCAGGTTCTCTCCCGTTGTGGCTCATTCACCTGGACCAGTGGTAAACTTACAGTCAGAAACCGGAGCGGGTCTTCTTCCCCGCCGAGGCAACAAGTCAGCCCTGCACTATTTACAACTGTACTAACTGATACTAACCACTTTACTGCCTAAACATTTGTTTGTTTACTTCTAATTTTCCGACGGATTCACTCTCATCCGAATATCCCAGCAGACAATATAATTGATTTCTCTGGGCTGGGAGTAGCCACTATCTGGTAGTAGTACACTTCCTTATACACTGTATCTGTATTCTCTCGGTTTGATTTCAGTTGTTCGTTCCTGGTATTTCAGGCCATACATAATATATATTCACGTCACTACCCCTCATCCCACCGGAATCTATACTACCTCATATTCCATGCATCCTTATGCTGTCATCTTCCTCCCGCTTTTTCTTCTCTCTTACAAGAAGGTTCAGATGATGCTCAAAAAAGCAAGACGAAACTACGCATAAAACTCCCACCTACAGCTAATTTGGCAGGGAAAATCTCAATTTATTTCCGTGGCGGTGCCTTACTGTACATACAAATCAACAACAAAGTAATAACACAGTCAACAGTACAACATTTTTAACGTATATCCAAAAGAGGCGGCTTATCAACATTGCGTTTATCGCAGACCGGACGTTACCTCTCCATTCGCGGCAACTCACCATCCCACTGAATCTTCATGCTAGTTGGGAAGGGAGAAAATCCGCTTTGGTCTGGAGTCATGTACTTTGCAATTCCACCAGGCCCAGACAGCCTTTTCAGCTGCCCCTGAGGCCCCGGGGCACGGCGCAGATTATCCAAGCGTCCGATGACCTTGAGCATGGTGGTAAGCGCTAACTTACAAAGCCCAATACCTAAGCACTGATGTGAACCAAAACCAAAATGAGCGTAGAGATCCATATCGCGATCAAGTCTGACCTTTTCAGGCTCTGGAAAACTTGCCGGGTCCATGGAAGCGGAAACCTAGAAAAGTGCAAACAATAAGTTATCTGTGCCCACGATAGTCGTGTTCTGTTTCATTTAGGATATTGGCCTCACTCACCAGGTTGCAAAGAATGTGTTGCCCTGCCTTGAAATTTAGCTTCTTACCGTTGTCTTCAACGACAGTGGGCTTGACCACCATCCGAGGTAGTCCCACAGACGACCGTAAGCGGGCGCCTTCCATGAAGCTTCATATGGTTAGTTGCGAACAAGGATACTGGGGCGAGAAATCCATACTATCTTAACAGCAGTTCGTCGGTTTCCGGTGTATCAACCTTTGCCAGCCGTTTAATATCAGGCAAATGGACTGACCCTTCTTCCGAAAGGTAATAGTCAAGACATTGTGAAAAAAGCTGCGCTTGGTTTGCCACCATGCCCCCAGCAGTTGGCAGAATATGAGTCCATACAATCTCATCCGCTGGCAGGCCGCTGGCAAGGAGGCGTTGGATCATGTGGACACCGTATTCACTGAGCACGTCATGTCGGTGTAAACTACTCACCAAGTTCGCAATGAACCCAGTGTTGTTAACAAGCTCGACATTGGCCATTGCCAACTGCCCGAGCTGCTGCGTCACTTCCCGGGCAGCTTGGTTAAGTTCAAATGAGTTCGCAGGATCCGCATCGTAGAAAATTGAGGTGAAAACAACAGCCATGATCTGGTAGAGTTCGGTTTCCGTGAAGACTCCCCGGGGGTTAGATTCAGTCTTCAAAGGCAATGAAAAAACATTTGCGCAGAAATGAACCTGAGCAGGATTTGCAACGTCTCGTACAATGTCAACTTGATTGATCCCAGCAATCTTGTAAGAATTTCTGTGCAGAAGCTTCAGAGTTATGTCCTCATAGAAGGATTTGATTTCATTCTCCCATCTCTTCCGGTACAAAGCAGCTCCCATCATCTTGCGCGATGCGGCATTTGGAGGCCTATCCCCAGACAACATAAAGTCCCTGCCAAAAGGCTGTTTTCCACGGTGCATCAAGAATTCGATCTTTGAGCCCCATGTGACCTTGAATGCCTCTGGATCAGACAGTATTGACATACAAGCCGAATGAGAGTGAATGAACTGGGGTGGGGGAGTGTAGCCAGGCTTGTCCCAGCTATACTTCTCAGCAAACCCAAGTTTTGTCAGTATCTTCTTGTTTTCAGATGGAATAACCAGAGGGAGATGTGCGTAGATCGAGTTTCCCTTGAAATGGTTCGGAAATGCTCGCAACACAAGCTTATAGAATACATGGCCTTGATCGACTGAGTCCTTAGGTTCAATCTCGCTAAAGGCCCAGTTTGTAAGATGCCTTGGAGTGAAATCGACTGTGTAGAAGCGATCGCCTCGGACCAAGGCAACTGCGTCGGAGAGAATGGCCCTTGAAATTGTGAAATTGGTACACAAGCCACTTCCAGGGACCACGGCTTCCTTTGTATCCTCGACGATAACACCAGGGTAGATCTCCACATTGTCTGGGTGATCATATAGTCGTTTGAGCTGCTCAGATATGTAAGGGTCAGGATTGATCTCCTTAAAAGTTTTGTAGGGGGTCAGGTTAAAGTAGTTCCGGAATTCGTTCAAGGTAGCCAAATTCCAGGAGCGAGCTTGTTTAATCCCCAACGCTTCAATGCTTCTGAAGATCGTTGGAACGTTAGATGCACCAAATGCGCCTACGCAGTCCTCAACGCTGTCCTCAAAGATTTTGACGAGAGAGTCATCGTCAAAGGATCCATCAGGCTTGCGCTGTAAGCCTGCAAACGGACGATCCTGGGGTTGCTCTGGAAGGTTTGCCTCCCACTTTCCGAGACCTCGCACGAACTCCTGCAAGGAGACACTGTTCGGATCCCTTCCAGGAAAGATATCTTTGTACAAATCTTCTGTCCACTTCTCGTCACGTTGAGAAATGCAAGAATGCCATCTGTACACAAGGTTGAATTCAGCCGAGACTTGGTTACCGGTAGCCTGAGCTGCTGCTTCGCCAAGTAATCCATCCTTCATTTCAGCACGGGGGTCCAAGCTCCAAAGGCTGTCAGTTCGATTAATATTCAAGATCGTTCGCACGTAGTCTTTGAGTATTATGTTGACATAGAGGCCGCAGGTTACTAGCCGACCGGTTTGGAACAGATCGTTATCATATCTTGCATATTCTTTGGTGTTCGACTCATCCGGCTTTGTGAACCGGCCGCCTTCGTTAATTGCGGCCAGCTGTTCGACGACGTGGTTGTGAAATCGGTTAAACATGATCAAGATTACGCCAATACCCGGAGGAAACCCCAGTACACGCTTGGTAGAGAAACAGTCCGGCTTGAGCTTTCCATCCTTGAAGGTTCTGACAAGGTTTTGCTCGTCTTGGTTATTTCCATACAGTGGCGAAAGGTCGAGATATGAAGATGTTAAAGAAATTGTGCTGTCGTTGCGGTCCGTTTGAAATAGGTCTTGATGGATGTTAGATATGAATGGGTGGTGAGCGTTATTGGCCGCTACTCACCATGGATAATAATGGATGCAATGTAGAACAGAATACTAGAAATCTTGTTCGGATGTTCCTTAAAATCTTTGCGTGCCAAAAGCGAATCGAACAGTGTTTCTGGATCCGGGAGCGCAGGAGATTGCAATGTCTTTGGCCGAACGGATCTCGCGTAATGAGAGCCGGCAGCGCCGATATGAGGCCACAAAACGTTCTTCTCTGGTATTAGCAAGCGCTCTACTCCAGGAGGGTGAGACAGGTTTACATTGCCTGAGCCATCTGCTTCTCGATACGAGTATTCGCGGCCAAGGTAACTACCTTCATTGTTAGACGTGCTAGCACAGCTCATGTCTTATCGACCAACATACGAAACCGGGAGGTGTTCCAGATCTTTCCACAGCTGGTTGAGGAAGGCATTTGTCAACTCCTTTCCAACTCGAGAGGTGGAAGGAAGTGCAGAGGTAAGCTAGAATGAAAGCTTCTCATTAATATAAGCCGCGACTACCCGTCCCAACGATTGCAGCAACGAACCTGGATCAATCGCTCCATAATATATTGCTTATCATTGAGAGGCTCTCCCGTGGCAGCATTTTTGGTGAGTTCCACGATCGTCTTGACATCGCTGAGATCCATACGGCCCAGATCCCTGACAATTCCCGTGTTACTTGAGTCTTTCACATATGATCCATCCCCTGTTTCGGTGGGCAACGGCCGTAGTGATGCTGACACAACCTTTTCAAGTTGAGAAACAGTCTTTCCTAGTCCATTGACCACACCACCACTCTCACTCTCTGTCATCGTGAAGTAGAGTATAGAGGACTATTCACAGCCGTCGCAGCAACGGAAACCAGAAGAAATGGTAAATATATATTAGCTGTTATTGAATATCAGTATTAATGATCTAGAAACAACGGTTGCTCCTTTCCCGCCATTATCTTTCATCCTAAGTAACGGACGTGATAACATAGGGTCGTTGTAGAGATTGGGCAAAGCCAGAAGGCCAATAGGGATGTATTTTATTAGCAGGAGGGGCTCATAGTTACCCACCTATATCGAAAACCCAAAGAGATGAACGCCCAGAGTTTCGAAAACCTAAGAAGTAAAAGTGGGTGTGAGGCTGGTGATGACCGATTTTGTAAAGATACAACGAGGCAGCCACTGAACTCTCAGAGGGGGAAAAATATGGATATACTCATGAACCGTGGTATTTGAACGTAAGACAAGAGAGATGAATAAAAGGAGCAGGAAGTTGTTCCTGTAACTGGTTTTTATATGTCCACGACCATATCGGCCTAACTTTGTGAAGGATTACGGTGCGGCTGAATAAATAGAGTCAGCTCAAGAGGATCAGCTCCAATGTCATTTGGATTAGAAAGCATGCAACTACTAACTAACGAACTAACTGTTCGCCGTTTCTCCTCCCTTGACAAGGAGAGCCCCACTGGCAGGTGTGCCAGTGAGACTGCGTTGATTTGATTCGCGCACGGAGTATACGAGTCGACGGCTGAGGCATACTAATAATACGACGTTGCCGTTCATGGAGAAGGGAAACCCACGCAGCCCGTGGGGAATTCTAGGCCGAAACTAAAGAGAAAAGTTACCTTGGAGCCCGAATGGCCCCCCATATCCAAGGATCACCATGAACAGCTAACTATTGGATCAGATTGGTTTATGGGACTGGAAGGCCCGATCTGCGACTGGAAGTTCAGCGAGGTGGCGCAAAAACGCAAACGGAAATTTGTCTGTGGTAGGTTCCATTCATATTTATTGCTCTAGGGGATTGATGGTTCGTCGGGATTGCCAATTCTCACGGGTTGGCCAATTGAGACATGAGAAGACATGATCATGATATCTACACCCCTTCTTTGCATGTCGCAGACACCGTCATGGTCTCAGGGCTGTCACAAACATTGTTTTTTCTTAGCTTAGCACCAAACGACGCCAATCATGTGACAGCGAAGGTGGCTGGCTGAACTGACCGGGCTAAAGGACACTACTGGGTGCCAGTCGTCCTGGTCCTGACCCGTCTTCTTACGGATTATGCAAGAGGAGCTGAACATGAAGTGATAAGTATTCATAATTAGAAGATATGCCACCAATGCGCAGGATCATGCCTCGGAAGGAAGCGTTCAATGATAAGCCGGCGTATTTTTGCTTTTGTCTTGGGGTGGGCCAATGCATTGTACATACAGTACAGAGTCTTACTCGGAGTAGGATATCAGTTTTCATACTCTGCATGTCCCTGATCTGCAGGATGCTTCCTTCTCCCTCATATGACTCAAGTCTTCGAAGCATTTTCTCGATAGCCTAACGTGCTATCACTTTGCCTTGACTCTTCAGAGCTTCTGGAAAGTTTAAGTGGTTGTTTCTTGGCGTCGCCCCACCTTGAAAGCTCTCAACTTTAAATTTTATTTTCCGTCCTCAACATTTACAAAACCCGAACTGTTGATATCACGTGATCACTGACGAGCCGAGGTCAGGATGGGCCTATCACCAATCGTGTCTTGGTGGTCCTTCCCTCTCGAAATATTTGATACTGGTCGTCGTCTAAACAGCATCCAGTTGTCTACTTGCGAGTTTTGGTCATTGAATTCGGCTATCTTGACGGGAAATCTTCGATTTCAATTATGGCGCCAGCAAGTATTACATTAATTGTTGAGCCCCGGGGTATGTGTGCCTCCTGCACCGGCTGCCAGCCATTGGCACAAAGTCTTTGTGCCTCTTAGCTCCCTACCCTTACTTACCCTATACTAGGTAAACCGATCAAGAAGCTCCCCAAGGAAATTCAGATCAGTCCCAATGCTCCCGCCCAGGTTATCTACACGGCGCTCGCGGCGGCCTCCGGCTTTTCCATCCATCGCCTGAGAATTACTAAAGGAAGCGACCGCAGTGTAGTACCCAATTCGAAGGAGACTACAGTCGATGATACCGGTCTGAAAGAGAGAAGTGTTGTCCATGTCAAGGACCTTGGTGTGTGAAGGCGCAGCTTCTGATCGTTATGTGCAATAAGCTAACACCATCTTCCCAGGTCCCCAAATTGGCTGGCGTACCGTATTTATCATTGAGTATTTTGGCCCTCTGGTCATCCCTGCTCTGTTCCTCTATCCTCTTCGTCCGTATCTCTATTACAATTTCGACAAGCCACTTCCCGAACCATCCTACCTTCAGCAACTGGTCTGTGCACTGTTGTCTATTCATTTCCTGAAGCGTGAATTTGAGACCATCTTCATCCACCGCTTCAGCAATGCCACGATGCCAGCACGCAATATCTTCAAGAACAGCGCACACTACTGGGTCCTGGCTGGCTTGAATATCGCCTATTGGGTTTTCCGCCCCGACGCGTCTGCAGTCAACGAACCGAACCCTGCTCTCCTCTACGCTGGTCTCGGCCTCTTCGTTTTTGGTGAACTGGCCAACCTGAACTCGCATTTGGTGCTACGTGGCCTGCGCCGTCCGGGTACGACAGACAGGGGTATTCCCTCAGGATTTGGATTTAACCTTGTCACCTGCCCGAACTACCTGTTCGAGATCATGGCCTGGGTCGGTGTCTATCTCGTCAGCGGTCTCAGCTGGAGCGTGCTGTTCTTCATCGCCGTCGGCGGTGCGCAGATGGCCGCGTGGGCTAAGAAGAAGGAACGCCGTTACCGCAAGGAGTTCGGTGACAAGTACAAGCGCAAGCGCTCCGTTATGGTTCCTGGTCTTATTTAGTTTTGACCAGAAGAAATCAAATCACTTTCTTTTTCAAGGACTGTGGTGAGGTACGGCTAGCTCTGGGCTTGTTATTCTTAATCATTTCGAACCTGGTCACTCTCAGGTTCATTGTTTTAAATAGAGCCGTTAGAACAGTAGTCCGTGGCAGGGGACAAGTGTTTCTTCTAACATGGCTACTCGAAAACTAATCATGACCGGTATCACGGGCTATGCTGTCAGCCCATGATTTCCGATTGTACGTTTCCTCAAGATACTTCTGTCAAAAATACTAGAAATAATAATTGAGTATTTGTTACATTAGACATCAAAAGCTAGCAAATGAGAAACGCTCTACATGGAAAAGGTGCCTCCAGCTCCAAAACACCGACCTAAGATTATTCGCAGGGATCCACCCAGGACACAAACTTTTGGAGCAGTCCGTGTGTCCAGCGTGACAGATTCCTCATTCAATGAAAATAAATGCTCAAGGCAATCAGTCTTTTTTGAGTTTTTTGCTCCATAGACGGTAATATGGTTCCATCTCTTTCTCGCAATTCCGCTTCGTATCTGTGTCACATCCAAAGAAGCGAATGACCAAGTCACCGTCCTTATAGTTTCCATCCGCGCCTGCGCCCGACGAGTCCTTGCTGTATGCGTTGATTGTTCGCTGAGGAACCAAGGCTAGTCTGGCCAGAATCGTCGGGTGCCACTGGAGAATATGATCCTGGAAAAGTGACTGCCGTTAGCGTCTGTGGTACAAGCGGTCGTAGAACAAAGCGACCCGATACGGAGCTAGGATAGCATCTTACCAACGCATGTGCCTCGGCCTTGGCGAAGTTGTAGTTGCGATACAAAGGATCGAACCATATGTCCAGGAATGTCTGCGCAAACTCGCCCTGTTTGATAACAAAGCTCCCGGCGCTAAGACTCTCGCTGTCTGTGCTGAGAATGAGGTCCACATCCTGGGGCTTTAGATGCGAAAAGGTCTTGATTATGCTATCCGGCGGGACAACGGGGACGTCCTTGAGCATCAACGAATCTAGACGACTCTTTTCGAGGAGGTGCGATTCCAGTGACTTGCTCGGGTCCATGATCAGCGCATGCGCATCGAGGTAGAAGAAGTTCTTCGAGTACGGATGGGTGGCCATCGCATGTCGAACGGCTGGGACGACGCCCCAGCTTCGCGGGGCGCTCTCCAGTGTAGTTTCGTAATCGGATATGTTGGCAAAGAAATTCGTATAACCTTGAGCAACGCACGTACTGTAAGTAAGTATCACCGGTCGGTAAATCGTGTGTTCACGTACCATGTTGCTTGGCGTATTCTTCTCTGTTCTTGGTGATCTTCTGAATGTAATCAGCGCTCCAGCGGGCACGGTCTAGAACTGTCACGATGACAAGACTTGACGTCCCGGCCGGTGCTGCGGGAGTTCCTGTACTTGAATAAAATAGCTGCGATAATAGGAAGTAGGTCACCACCAGTGCGAATCCTAGGATCGCAACAGCTTTAAGTTGTTTCCTGCGCTGTAACGACAGCCGGGAAGAGCGGCCGTATAGAGGAGCATTGAGGTTCCTCCGAGGTGGTAGAGCGAACTGCATGGTTGAACGGTTTGCCCCCAGCGGTAATTTGCTGGGTGACTGGGAGTACAGTTGGACGAAACTACCGATCAGGGCATTCTAATAGAAAGTAGACCCTGGGCTGTGTGGAAATGTAGCTTGCAGCGTCGCAGTACTTCTGGAACGGTCCTATCTAGTATCTGCCGCATCCGGAAATTAAATGCGGATCATCAACGGCCCGACATATTCTCCAAGACATTTCCTGAGGTACTTTCTTGGTTGGCCGTTGGCTGTATTGGCGGCTAAAGAGTATTCTGATCTAGGTTGCAAAGAAATGTCGAGATTCTGTATATCTGGTGTGAAAGGTCATAGCAGTGGTACTCGCCCCATCCATGATATTTCAATAACGAACTATTTATATTTAACCCAAAGTAGCATTGACAACGTATAAGTACACTGAAGAGCTAATCATGCAAATTTAAGGAAATAAATGCAACAACTGAGTGGTAGTTGTATGCTGGCCTCCGCTGTCCCTCCCATCTATCAATACCGGGAAGTGGTATATGAGGCATTGCCGACCATGACCAAAATAATAATACAGACGCCCATCCATTGATCACCGCAAACTGGAACAAAATCAACTGTCCAAAGTCCTTCTCCAGAAGCTTTTATTCCTCCCTCCTTAATACTGCTTCTCGTTGTAAGTTGGCTTCGTGATTTCCGTGATGTTGGTCAGATCCTCCGCCTGCGCCTTGATTTCGGCTTCCTTTTGTGCCACCCACTCCTCGAATGATGGCGGTTCGGGGAGTCCTAAGCGCTTCCGCTCTTGTCGGAATTGCTCTTGAATCTTCTCGGTCTGCATAACCTTCCATCTCAACTGCCATCCGAACACTCCAAGTTCCTTGACCCGCCCCGGCCGGTCGTCAAGAAGGTAGTTATCGAGTCCACCAGACTTCCGGATTGTCCTCAAAGCCTTACGTGTAACCTTGATAAACAGCCACTCCTCAAGTGCTTCGCTGTAGATCTTCTTTCGACGGACATTTGGCTTCCAGAAGCGTCGGGTTTTCCCCTCATTACGACCTTTGGAGATCTTGTTTCCGAATTGGATCATAGCGCCTCCATAGAGACCGCTGTTCGACTGTTTGTAGACATAGTTTGGACCGTAAGGGTAAGGAGGAATGTAATCAGGCAGCTGTTTCGTCTTCTGCGTGGCCAGTGTCGTGGAAAAGGACCGTTTGGAGGCGGTTAACGAGAGGTTGCGAAAAGCCGAAGAGAGGGAGAACGGGACGGACAAAGCCGAACGAGGTTGTAAACCCGCCATTGTCTTGATCAAAAGGTCGATATGGTATCGACCATGACAGGGAAAGACAGTCGAGAGGAAGTAAACGGCGTCGACGGGCACGACGGGTAATGCGATATTGAGGGCCGGAGTAGTTCGTTGACTACCTTAGTGAGGTGAAAGAATTTGGGAGTTGGCCTCACCGCCTTAGCAACGGACGGCTATCATTGAGCGGTCCCTTAAGCTGTGCTTGAATTTCGGCCAGAAGCATCCATCGCTATCGTCCTTGTCTCCAGTTTTCCCTGCTGGCCCATCAATTACGTTTCTTCCCGATAATATTTCTTGTTGCTCTAATCCCTGACCGTTCCGACTATAATTTAATTAACCTATCGTGACTTCTGAGTGAGGTCGCAACCCTTTCACCATGGTCCAGATTAGCGAAGTGAAGGGCAATTCGCGCGAAAACAGGACCGCCGCGCACACGCATATCAAGGGTCTTGGATTACGTCCTGATGGCACTGCAGAGGCTTCCAGTGATGGATTCGTTGGCCAAACGACCGCCCGTGAGGTGCGCGATGCTCTTCCTCCGACCGCGTTACGCAACGATCACGGTGCTAACTAGCTCTCAATAGGCATGCGGTGTTGTTGTCGATTTGATCAAAGCGAAGAAGATGGCCGGGCGTGCTGTTCTACTTGCCGGTGGACCAGGAACTGGAAAGACGGCGCTCGCCCTTGCCGTATCACAGGAACTGGGAACCAAGGTCCCATTTTGTCCAATCGTTGGCAGTGAAATCTACTCTGCTGAAGTTAAAAAAACAGAGGCACTTATGGAGAACTTCCGGAGAGCGATTGGTGCGCGGACCATTTTTAGAGAGTTTAAGTGTTCACGCGGTTAACATGCTTTTTAGGTCTCCGTGTGCGCGAAACCAAAGAAGTGTATGAAGGTGAAGTCACCGAGCTTACGCCCGAGGAAACTGAAAACCCATTGGGAGGCTATGGACGCACAATCAGTCACTTAATTATCGGATTGAAGTCTGCAAAGGGAACCAAGAAGCTGCGCCTTGATCCCAGCATTTATGAGGCTATCCAGAAGGAACGGGTCACCGTTGGAGATGTTATCTACATCGAAGCGAACACTGGTGCTTGCAAGAGAGTTGGACGATCAGATGCCTATGCGACCGAGTTCGATCTTGAAGCGGAAGAATATGTTCCTGTGCCCAAGGGGGAGGTCCACAAGAAGAAGGAAATCGTACAGGATGTGACGCTACATGACCTGGACATGGCCAACGCCCGACCACAAGGTGGACAGGACGTTATGAGCATGATGGGACAACTGATGAAGCCCAAGAAGACAGAGATCACGGATAAGCTGCGCCAGGAGATCGACAAGGTAGTTAGCCGGTATATCGACCAAGGAGTTGCTGAGCTGGTTCCTGGTGTTCTATTCATTGATGAGGTATGTGACTTATCATGGCTGCGTTTTCGCCCCACGCTTCTAACATTCCCATTCTAGGTCCACATGTTGGATATCGAATGTTTCACCTATCTCAACCGTGCACTTGAATCCACAATCTCCCCCATTGTCATCCTTGCCTCCAACCGCGGCCACACTGTCATCCGCGGCACCGACGACATCACCGCCGCACACGGCATTCCTTCTGACCTCCTCGCTCGCCTTCTCATCGTCCCCACCCACCCTTACTCTTCCGACGAGATCAAGACTATCATCCGCCTTCGCGCCAAGACCGAAGGCATCAACATCACCGATCCCGCCCTCGACAAGATCTCCGAGCACGGCAGTAACGTCAGTCTGCGGTACGCACTGCAATTACTAACCCCCGCTAGCATCCTTGCACGGGTCAACGGACGGCCAGGAGGCATCGAGGAGGCCGATGTGGCCGAATGCGAGGACCTCTTCCTTGATGCAAAGAGAAGCGCGACGATTGTAAGCCAAGATAGCGAGAAGTTCCTTTAGAGGGCGTTTTGTGGAAACGAAGATCTTTCTTGAATTAATGCTTTGGACTGAGAAAAGACCACAAGAATAAAGGAAACTGAAAAAAAAAAGAGCAATATGTATACCATGTCTGATGTATCGTGTACTGGTCAGGCAAATGATCCATCATAGTCATTAACGTTAATGTCAGCTAGTCTCATGTTTTCATTGGTCTCATTTCTCCACTATAGAAACCAGTTCTATAAAGGCTCTCTAGCATCAAACCGGCCGACTAAGATTTAAGCATTCTATTCCCACCCAACATCCACTCAAACATAATCTCAACCCTCGATACAGGGAACCCAAGCGCCCCCAATAAGATCCACGACATCTGGAGAACCAGAGCATAGAACCGAGCCAGACAAAGTGCCGTCCGAACCAGATGGTCTTTTAATCCTAGCTCTGTAACCGGCGATGTCGAGGAACACATGGGATCAGGGTGGTAGTGAATCCCAAAAGGTACCTGCGCACCTAAGTGCTCAATAGCAATCTCGAGACCAGAAGTAACCGCATCTTCGAGAAACCCACGCCCGGTCCAACGGAAGCCGTAGCTTAATCCCCTCTTGTTCTGGATTAACGGAAGACGGCTTTGAGCTTGGAGAGTTGCGGTGCTAAGCTCGGGTTCGGTATACTCCCATATGCTGTGTGCGAAGCGAGGATGGGGCGGCGTAAATGGATTCAGGGTGATGTATAGCCGGTCGAAGAGACGAGTTGGGATATTTTGGAGGGAATTTACGTTGTATGTGAGGCTGGATTTGCGGGGAGTCCAGGCTGGGGGTTCATGCTGGGTGTTATCGGAGGGGTCTAGGCTGTAGTTGCTGGTGGGCCAAGATCCGTGGATGTTGGGTGCCAGCTGTGTCGAATGTGTAAGTGGTGGTTTTTCGATCGTGTCGCTCCTGGTAGAGGGTCGTGGGTTACTTACAAAGGGGTCTGAGTGTAAGACGGCGATATTGTTAGTTGTTTTGAGCCCCTCGATGATCTCCGTTTCATCGGTATCTATATTGGAACCTAGTATCTTGAGAATCTCGTCGTTATCCACGGCGAAGATAATATGATCAAAATGTGATTCTCTACCATCCGCTGTGAAAAGGCTATTCTGTCTTTTATCCACACGGGTTATCTCCCGGACCCTGGTATTGAGGTGCACATTTTCAGAGGAGAATCCCTTGGCCATGGTCTGAACAACATGGTTTGTTCCGCCATCGATACGGCGAAAATCTGGCGTTGTTCGCCGTATGCCAAAGAGCTGATGGTCGCATAAGCTGCGAATGAGGGTCTTGACAGGTAATTGCGGAAGTAGCCTTCCAATATTTATCCCCCATAGGGTTGAAAGCAAAGGCGCTAGATACTGGTCGCAAAGACTTTTTGAATACCCTTCGTTCGAAAGAAATTCAACTGTACTGAGCGACTGCAGAACGTTGGTTTTGTCACGGGAAGAACGCTTGTCTATCAGTATATCCATGGCCAAGTAATTAAACCATATGATGTCGAGCAGCAAACGAAGGGTTCCTAAACTGCACAGCATCCACGGGTGCAGGAGAAGGGTATTCAAAACGCCACCACACCAGTCATAAGTGTCTACACCGTCTGACACACCAAAAGCAAATGGTACAGTGGATGTGCCTATTCCGAGGAAGCGGAGCAAAGACACGAGATTGGCTGGACACAGATGTTAGCCCTGAACTGCCGTTCTGGTATAACGAAACTAACGAGAAGCCTCAGCATTGAAGGCTGGCGATTGTGTGTTCACATCGACCGCTTTCCTATACTGCTCTAATGGCAGGGATTTGATACGCCCACCCAAACTTGCTGAAGCCTCAAACAGGTGGACATCATGCGCCGATTGTTGCAATGCCCAGAAGCAAGTGGTTCCAGTGCAGCCGCCGCCAACGATAGCGACTCGTTTGGAGTGAGGAAGTGGCATGAGACAGAAATTCTTCTAATAACCAGCTTTCTATCCGATTGAAAAGACAGTACCAGCAATTGAAAGGTAAACTCAGGCCTTCTATACGAAGCGCAACGGTTGGTGCACGGGCTGGAGAGGGAGTGGATGAAACAGCAGATAGATCTATACTACTCGCCCCCATTCAGACCTCGGCTCATCCTTTCCAGGGGTGGCGAGAATCAGGGCGGTCTCAACTATGGTGAAAGGATTAGTTCAGGATGAAACGAAAGATTGCCAACATAACACGGTTACGGGGTCGTCCAGACATGCTTTCCGATCTACTTGGGTGTGATCGTATCAGATGACAGGGCGGTTAATCATGGGTGAACCAGCGGCAAATTGGCTTTTAGGAGGATAAATATCGCATTATGACACTCCAAACACCCAGAGTGATCATTGGCCAGGTTCCAATCTTGAGGGGGTTGTTTTACGGGGTTAATTTGCATACTCCACACGCTCCAGTTGTATCAGGGGCACACTATAGTTGGGTGGCTGGCTCATATCTGCACGCATATCAGATTTCCGTTGATCGTGAGCACATCAGTTGCAACTAATGAAAAGCTAGCAAATGACGCATTTCGAGCACAGAAGATAGTTGTTTTTTCCTAGAGTATCAGAGGAAGATCCGCCAATCGATCCGTAATTATAGCGTACTACTAGTACATCCATAGTAGGAAGAGTGAACTACGACTAACTAATGATTGATTCTCAAGGCGGGAAACCACAGCCTCGGCCGCGCATCACGTGTGGGTCGGGGGTTCCTGTTCCGGAATGCCAATCATTAGCATCCTATCGTCATTCTGCCTACTTTCCCCCTCATTCAACAGCAGGTATTCACACCTTTCGGTCTTTTTCGTGTGTCCCTCATTTCGCGCATCAGTGGCCACTCCCTACATCGTGTAGTGTATCCGTGTGGGCGCGCTCAGTTCGTTCTGAGTCCTGACCGATCGATAGTGCCACCAGCCACCGCAAGATAAGGTGGTCCCAGGAATCCGCCTGCCTATCAGCGACTATTGAGCGCTTTAAAAACCCAGTTTAGACCAACGCCGCTACCTATACAAATATTTTCCTTTTTTCTTAAACATAGATAACATCTCGCTATCATGTCGAACCCTTTGGATACCGATGCCGGCTCGGAGCTGTTCAGTAGTTACGAAACCGAGCTGAAGCTGATACAGGCCGATCTGAACCAGACATTGGACCAGATCGCTGAGTCGAGTGGAGAGCAACGGAAATCAACAATAAGGAAAGCGGAACAGCTGCTAGATGAAGCTACTGAACTGGTTGGTTGCCTACCTTACAACTCTCCGTGAATTCTTATTGACAGGCCCGGTCATTTGCAGTTGGACCAGATGCGCATGGAGAAGCAGAACATTCCCTCGGCGGCACGGTCAAAAGTCAACGCACGATTTCGCAATTATGCCACGGACCTTGATGAGTCGAAACGCAAGCTCAAGTCTCTTTCTGACGACCGGAAAGCGCTCTTTGGCGATCGCTACACCGACGACCCGCAGGATGTACACTTGGAGCAGAGGCAGCAGCTTCTGTCCGGCACGGACCGCCTGGAGCGCAGCTCTGCCAGACTCCAAGAAAGTCAGCGGATTGCTTTGGAGACGGAGGATATCGGCCGCAACACGCTAGCAGATTTGAATCAGCAGCGGGAAACCATCATGAATACTCGGAGCAATCTGCAGCAAAGCGAAGGATATGTTGATACCAGTATCAAAACGTTGAGGGGCATGGCCCGTAGGTACTGACTCCTTGGACTCCTCCTCTTCTACGCTATAGCTCATATTGCTAACACTTTGCGCAGGATGGCTACGAATCGGATAATTACGATTGCGATTATAACCGTTTTGGTTCTCCTAATTATTGCCGTTATCTACAGCAAGTTTCATTAAGCGTTAGGGCTAGCAGGCGTTGTGCGGGAGTTCTTCGATTTTACTTTCATCTTACGATACAGTGTCTGCTGTAGCAGGCACTGCTAAAGCAACGTTGTATGATAGCATCTCCATGGCCTAATCAAGCCGGCTTTTGTAGTTTTGGTACAACTCAACGACTTAATTGGCCTGTTTTATTAAAAGCAAGAACAAAACTTCGGGGTATCATTAGCACATAACGAGAAGCAGAAGGGCGAAATTCAAACGCAAGAAACACCACCTAGTATCAGTTCATGATACGCATTGTCCCAAATGCGAGATTGACAACCACCCCAACAAACACTGCCAAACCCTTTCGCCAGCTCCAGACGCCCTCCTCCCGCCTCAACCACATCGCACACCCCACTGGCCAAAAGAAACCCATGACAGCGCCCCAAAGCATATCATCCATAGCCCCTCGCGACCCCGACCCAAATCCCCCATCATCATCCGTGAAACCCGCTCCCTCTCCAGCCCCTCCAGCCCCAGCTGCCATTGCCGACGAACCCTCGTCCATCCACCGATCCTCAAGCTCCCGCAACTCCGCCCCACTCGGCATGGTGTCTGGCGTTCGCGACACGGACTGGATAGCCATAAACTGCGACCGCAGCGCCGACACTTCAGCAGGGGTAAACCCCGCTGACAACAACCGGTCAAAACCACGGGGCGCAGGCGTCGTCGAGGAAGTCTGCTGCTGCTGCTGCTGACTCTGCAGATTTGACTGATCACCATCTTTCTGTGTCTGATCCTCTTGCTGGAGTGTAGATGCCAACGATGCTTCTGTCGCTAAATCTGTAGCGGAAAGGACGATATCGCCTATCGAACAATGGATGTACAGACGGGGTTGTTCTCGGACGGGCGCTTTGCCCTTTCCCTTTGCCTTTGAGGGATCGGTGTCTTCATCGTCGGAAGGTAATCTGGGTGAGCGGGAGGGTGAGGGGGGTAGTTTCAGGGAGACGGAAAGTGGGATGGTGTCTTCGAGACCGCGGCCGGCGTAGATCAATCGGAGACGATGGGAGGAGAGGTTTGGTGGGAGTCGGGTGCGGATTAGTTGTTTTAGGCCTGCTGATGTGGCTGTTTCGGGGTATAGAACATCGAGTGGAAGATCGGGGATTGAGGCTGAGAAGCGGATAGTGAGGAGAAGAGGGTCAGATGTTAGATCCTCCCCGGAATTGTGCTTCGGGGATAAGAATGTTGGTGTTGTCATTTTGTTCATTGAATTATTAGTTGACGGGGGGGCATGAAATGTTCAATGGTTGCACGAGAGTTGAGTGTTGTCGTATAGTAGCAAGTCGAGAGGTAAATGATGGTACCTGCGGAGGGTCCAGTCAGTGGGCTGATTCCCCATACTCGGCGTACTTCCCGATAAGGGCCCACGTGATGCCGGGTTTGTTGTAAGAGGGAATACTAGTATTCTGTATTCTGTACCTGTCACTCTTCTCGGGGATCAGAAGCTAGAATTCCTGTTTGTCCTATATGGTTTCTAGTGTTTCTTTTGTGGAGTTCTAAGTTTCCTCCTATTCATGTTATGCATCGATGGCGTACAGCGGTATTCTATAGGTCATGGCGGGAAACTCTCGCGGAGAAGCGGAAAACTTGCGTTTAACATCCCCATCTGATATCAGAAGCTTCCAGAGCAAATAAATTTTTATACACATGAAGGAGTGTTTCAAGAGTTTTTTGTCATTGAATTTGATATCTTTATTGATAGTAAACAAAGGGAAAAGCGAGCACAGAGTCACTCAGTACGCACACTGCGCATAGGTCGAACAGCCAAGGTCAAGTCCTTGACATACAGGAAGAAAAGAAAACAGTATGTATTACACGATGTGGGCTTTATAACCCGGGAATCACTGATGTATTCAACAAGGAAAAAGGGGAGACTCGATAATCCCAGGAGAGAACAATCCGTAAGAACGCCGTCCGATGCACCGTTGATAATTCCAAAAGGCCGTAAAAGAAAGATCGGAATCGTAATCTAAACCATGAAGGATTCACCGCATCCACATGATTCCTCTGTTGAGAACATGTTAGCGATCATGGTTTCACAAACAGTAAGGGAAAAGAGAAGTAGCTGGAAAACATACTGATATTTGGGTTCTTGAAGATGAATTTCCTGCTCAATTTATCTTCTTGCCAATCCATCTCGCTACCGATGATGCTGAACAGCGCCTTGCTGTCAATCAAAACCTTGACGCCATCCTGTTCCACAACTTCATCGAAGGTACCCGGCTTCTCCACGTATTCAAGATGGTAGGCGAGGCCCGAGCAGCCACGGTTCCTTACGCCCACTCGGATCAATTTCGGGTCCGGCTGAGACAGTAGCTTACGGAGTTGCACAATAGCCTCAGGTGATAACTTCATGGCCGCTTTCCGTGCACGTAGCTTCCTCCGAGGCTTTTCCGCGGGTTTCGAGGCGGGAGCAGTCGACTCGACGGGCTTGGACTTCTGTGCCTCATTCTCTCTGAGGCTAACATTTGAAAAGACTCCTTGCTGCTGTGCCGATGTGTCTCGGAGCGGAGGGAAGTCTGCCGAGATAGAGGTGTCGTAACTTCCGCCGCTCCGGGGAGGTGGAAAAGCGGTCGGCAAGGAATGTGGGCGATACGCAGTAGCGGTCTGCATGTCGCGCTTGGAAGACCGGTGGGCATTTCCATATGAGGAGAACAGACGATGGGCCGGGGTCTTGTAGGGATTTCTCACACAGCGCAACATCGTTGTGGATGATGTCACTGGAGAGCGAACCGTAACTCTGCAGAAGGACATGATGACTGTAGATATAAATATGAGGTGTTCAAAGGCTCTATGCAATGATAGAAGTAACAAAGCCCTAAGTTCTCATAGGATCTGATGTGATCTAGTGGAGAGGGAATGCAAATTGTCAAGTAGGTTGGGAATTGATGTGACTCGGGAGGTTGAGTTCTGTTTTGAGGCGGAAAGAAAGTCAGCAGTCGGTTAAGAGGGTCACCGCAAGTACCCGGCCGGCCAATCACCGTCGAGGTGTTTCTACACAAGTTCAGTGGCGCCACTTCTTGTCATCTGATCAGGATTCTCATGTAGTGCCATTTATGGGGTAGATGACAGTCGGCGAGTGGTTCGCTTACTTTGCAGGAATGCGGCTCTGTCCTTCAATCTTTTATTAGTAGTGCAATTGTTCTACTGACTTGGATTTTATGGGGAGGAAACCATCAATTACCTTCCCGTTAATAAGGTGATTGTCAGCTTGTTCCCGCAGCGGGTACCTCAGGCACGAGCTGAGACGATGACTAATGGGTTTCTTCCACATTCGATCCTCAATAACGTGGAATGTCACCAAGGTTGATAAGTACCTTCTGGTGCGCTTAGTCAACACCTGGAATGATGCTGCTGCAGTGTCTACGGAGGCTATATTAGTATTGAACCTGGTAATAATGGTAATAAATGTGTTTCTCCAGGCTGTCAATATTACTAGTAAGTTTATCGCCCCTGACTAGAATGATTATGTCATCGTCAATTGTAACTAGTTAACTAAGTTATTGTATGTTAATTGTTATTGTTTAGGAGAATTGATGGCTGGAAAAATTATATGGGAGTGGTTAAATAGGATATTAATCAAATCGCCCTGAGACAACAGAAAGGAGGTTTAGTTTTATATTTAAAAGACCTCAAACAAAGTGGAGCGTTTGGGATGAAATGAAATGTGGCTTGACGGACCAAAGAGCGTGGCTCATGTGGGTTTTGAAACCCAAATAGGCAGAAAAAGGATGTGGCCGTTCTTGGGTGCGATACGACGACGACGTGGTTGTAGTGATAGAAACAATAGAACCCATACTCCGCCTCATTCTTGCCCGTCTGTCTCTTGTCTGATTGTTCTCCTCACTGCGATGCTAGCCGTGGTCCTATGTTCTATGCAGATCATTGAATCCGTCTAACCATCATGGAGTCCCCCTTAACTCAGCAAACTAGACCCGAAACCTTCAAGCCTAAAGTCGTGCAACTATACGAGAACCTATTTCAGGTCCGTCCAGCCACCTCGCCTTCTGGCTTAGTGAATACTAACTTACTCCTTGTAGACCTCGGACTATAATGAACCCTCCGAGGGATTTTGGAGGGAGTTCTTCTTGCTGCCGCCTGATCGGAGCCAGCTCAGCTCTATCCTAGACCAGCTCAGCCCTGATGAAACGCTCCACTTACAGGTAACATCCCACCCATAGTCTTACCCAATCCATAACTTACGGGAATGCTCTTGTTGCGTGCTAACCTTGCACCAGGTTCAAACCCAACAGCTTTTCACTCGGGCCATCCGTGAAGCTGCTTCGAGAGCCAGTCCCGTGGACTCGTATGCACTAGAGGTGCGTATATTCCTAGAAGTCATTGCTTTGTACTTCAACCTCTAAGAAGTGATGTAGACCTTGATGGTATTTCTGGCTTGCGTCTTGAAGAAGAAGTACACCAACCCTAGTTCGGATGTCATTACCGTTCTTGCAGGTCTCGATCATGTTGACCAAGTTATTTCGAACTTTGTCGCCGTATTGGATGGCATTATTCGCAATGGAAGCAGCTGTAAGTTTCATCAATATCTCCCTGTCATGTTGATGAGCCGGGTCCATGCTAACCGCCTCCTCAGTTGATTTGCGCATCAAGGCTATTAAGACAGCTATCGCCATGACCAGTGGCGCATACAAGACCAGTCTGGTTTCGTATTTAACGCATCGCGATTTATTCCCGTCCCTCATGAAGGTTTGTCCTCAATGCGCATCGACTCCTTTAAGCGTACCCTAGAATATCTAATCTGTCGTACAGTTCGTCCAAGAATCTGAAACTCCAATCCAAGTATTTGACCCATTTCTTCTTCTGGGATTGCTAGCAAACTACAACAAATTTGAGTTCCAAAACCCTTACCAGCTGCGACTTGACGACTTTGTCAATGAGACAAGCATCCAGAAGATTGTCAAGGGAGTCGGGCTCTCGTGCGCTGCTGTGAGGAACGGTTATGTTGCTGTGCAGGACGATGCCCCCGAAGGGTGGACGCTGTTCAGCACATTGGTTTACTTTGGCCTGGGGGCCCTCTCTCCAAGCAAGAAAGACAAAGCCAGCGCACCGAGTGCAGAAGAAGCCAAGGAGATGTTCGCGATGCTGTAAGATAGAGTGCATCCACCGGATTTGACCAACAAGCTAACAGAACTAGGCCGGCCCAGCAAGCAGCTATCCTTTTGGCTACTTATGACTTCACAAATGCCAACAAACTCTTTGGCCAGAATCTGATCAGCCAAGCCCCAGACAAAGATAATGAAGAATCGCCATTTGCTAGTTTCCTCTCGTTGACATCGTATCTTCTGCACCACGCCTACCGCTCCCCAAGGATAGCGCACTATGCCGAACTCAACCTCTTCACGCTCCGTATCCTCGCCGAGGACTCCACCCTCTGCAAGCAACTCTGCAGCGAAGAAAACAAAAGAAAAATCCGCCTCTGTCGCCAAAGACAGCCATATCTACCAGTAGTCCCAGGGGACCGCGTCCTCGCAACAGTCATCTTCGACATCATAATTGATACAATCTCCCACAACCTGCGACGCCGCCTCGATGTCAACATCTACAGGTGCTTCCCTACCAAATCCACTCCCACATCATGCCGCATACTGACCGCATCAACAGCCACTCAATCGCGATCCTCCTCCGCCTCCTCACCTACCTATCCATGAACAAAATCCGCCTAGCGTACCACTGGTCGGAGCTCTGGCGCAACCTTCTCTCGCTCATGCGCTTCCTAACAACCTACGTCACCGACCTCGCATCCAACCCTAACATCACCACCCTGACCACAACCCTCGTAGACCTAGTCGCATTCTGCGTCTCCGCAGGCGACACCTTCCTCCCCGACCCTTCCTCGTACGACGACCTATTCTACAAACTGGTCGAGACAGGGCCCATCATCACCAAATACCGCGACGTGTATTCTCTGAAACCAGCCAGCTCGAAGCCCACAGACCCGAACCCATCCAAAGACGTCCACGTCGCGGCCATTGACACCCTCATTTCCGTCTCAACCCACTTCTACACCCTGCTGTTTAACCCGGAGCAGACCGATGCGAAGCCCGATGGTGATGGCCAAGGCGTGGCGCCTATCCCGGCGCACCGGAAGAAAAACCTCGGTCCCAGAGAGGTTCATCGCATTATCAAGCAAGGGTATGATACGTTGAGCATTCAGCCGCCGGAGGGGCTGAGCGCTTGGACTAGGTGGCGGGAAACGGATGCGAAGACGGAGCTGAAGCAGGCTGCCAGGTGCGTTGTTGAAGATGCGAGGCAGCTGGTTGTGTAGATAGTTTGCTTGGTTTTGGTTTGTTCGTTGGTGTGGCTTGAACTTGTGTCGAAAGTGCTATTACTTCTGTGGTTTCTATGGGAACTTGATACAGAATGCCCCATGATATCTGTACTTATTTTGGTCTATGAAATCAAACTTGATGACCAAAGCAAAGAGGGATTAGAAGATTAAACCGTTCCATAACATTCGCCAATTTCCTCTAATGTTACAAAGTGAACCGTTAGAAGCCATAACTCGCGTAAAAAGCTAATTCCTCCCATGCTCCTGAAACCACCACAGTGCTGAAAAAAAAAAAAAAAACGAAAAGGAAATGTTCTTCAGAAAAAGTATAACAATTTACCATCATGCAATGTCACCATGTGTGAAAAGCAGTCAATGTGTACTGAAGCCTTAAACCCATTTACACCAAACGTGAGGTAGCAGTGCCAGGGTTGGGGTTTGCTACACCCTTAGACTTTTCGACATATTCATTGCTGGCAGTCATATATCTAGTAGCAAAGTACTGGCTAGAGTGTTTGCTCAACCAGAGAGTGAACTTGGAAAGCTCCTCGCGGAGTCTGTTAGTAGATTGGAGATCCATATTAGTCTGCGCAATGAGTTCAGGCATGGTAGCTAGATATGATCAGTGGCAATCTTCAACATATCATAGAGAGCATCATACCGAAAAGACGAGTCAAGTGCTCGGCACCATAGATATCCAAGGGACCTTTGTCGGCGAAGTCTCCCGATCCCGATTCCCACTTCTTGCGGAGGTTTCGGTACTGTTCGCGTTCAAATCTGTAAAGGAGGATCTTATCAAGGGCTTTGTCAAAGTACTCCTTGATTCCCATAATGACCTCCTCAAGAACATCCAGATCAGCCGAGCTTGTGCGCTTGGGCTTCTCTGCCTCAGAATAGTCTTCCAGGATTTGATTAACCGAGCGCTTAGCCGGCAAAGCCACGACTTGCTGGTTCTTCGTCACGTTCTCCCAGTCATCGACCAGAAGCGACTTCAGATTGTCTGGCATAACAATCCTCACTGATGGTCGTACATAAAAGCTATCCTCCTGGGAGCGTTTTTTGTCAGTCTAATCGCCTCGAGGAGCTACGAGTCCCAACCCAGGTGCCAAGCCTCATCGGTACCATGACCAGGCAATAGCCATTGACAGGGTTTTTAAAATTGAATAGTAAATGCAGCAAGCTCACCTTTTCAATATCGTTGTCCCTGGCTCTCTTGGTTCCGCGGCCAGGAACGGACAGCTGGCGTTCTTCGCTTCCCCGGGCGGAGCTACGATCGGAACCTCCCCTTTTCTTTGCGGAGGCCTTGGTGCTCTTCTGACGGAACGCAGCCTCAGCCTCACGGCGAAGAGTAGTTGCAAGTTCTCTGTTCTCCTCGGTAAATTTACGGAGTCGATCTTGCGGGACCCAGTCATCCCAGCTAAATGTGGCAAAAAGCCAGGTCAGCCAAATCCATGTACACCCGCCAACGCAGATGGGGGGATGCTTTATCCTCAACGCCCACAGGGTGTTTAGAGTAGCCTCGTAACTAGTAGACGAGCGAGGGGTAGAGACAATCTTGCTCATTTAGGCATGAAAGACCGGCGGAACACGGGGAACGCAAAACACCGAGGATATACGTACGTGTTTTTCCAGCCCTTGTAATGTACTAGGTACTCATACGGGCTCTTGCGGTCGTCGGGGTCGACGTGTCTGACGTCGAGGATCTTTGCCTCGTACAAAATCTCATGGTGGAAACAGAGCACTCGCTCGTCTTTCTGATAAGTGGTTTGTCCAGCTGGGGCCATTTTGAAGAGGACAAAGGTGAGCCTCAAGGAGCTTTGTGTTTTTGAAAAAAAGAGGTGGTGCGCAAAGAAGGGTGAAGAAGTTGAACACCAGCCACGGGGTTTGATTCAGAAGGTAGAGGAAGAAACAAGCCTGATGAGGTTCAGGTTGACGTTCCCAATACTGTCGCTGTTCTTCTCAAGACCACGTGCCATGCAATCAATCAATGACCGGGAGAGAAAATTTCTGTACAATGGGGTTTGAAGATGCAAGTGCCCAGTCTGACTGGCCCTAATTGCACCACTAATTGATTCTCAGACAGTCCGTTATACAATTGAGACTCTGCTGACAAGAACCCTGGCTTCTCAAAGCACTGATATTTTTGACACAAGTGCCCGGGGGATTGGGAATAAGATGAAGATAGCAAGCGTGGAAGGCTACAAGACAGAGCAACACTGGCCTCCGAGCAATGAGGGTATCTGAGAGGAAAGGGAGAGGTGGAGGAAGCGGAGGGAAATCTGGAGTATGACTTGTGTTGCGCGTGGTTCAGGGAAAAGACCCGAAATGGTAAGAAAGCGGAAGTGGAACTTAACGCGTGCTGAAAAAGGGCGAACTTATCGGCGAAAGGAACGTCTTCATTTCAACCCATTCCCCCAACCTTCACCACCATCGCCCCTTATTCTCTGATTTCACCATTCTTCTTGCTCGAGTCTGCAACAGCACTCTTTCCTGTACTGACCTACACGGCTTGAAAATACCATTTTCCTTCTCTTAAACCCCGTCATCAGTTGCTTCCGCAAAGACTGGCCCGATTGGTCCAAGGCAGTCTGGACCCTGAATGCCACACAGGCCAAGAATCATCATCCATTAGAGATCCCAAGAGCTCCCGAAGGAAGGGAAAGGAGAAAAGAAACCTGGTTCTCCTTAGATCTTCACTTTAAATTGCATATTCCAGTGGCAATTCGCGATCATGGCTCCGTCAGAAGCATCCATTCTAAGCAATTTCCTTCTATCTCCAGCTTCTTTGCCCACAATTATCTCCCTGCAACAATTCACGGAACTCTTTCCAAAGCGCCTGCGCTCTCATCCACATATCAGAGCTCTTTACCGGGAGCTGCAGCAACTCCGAGAGCAAGACATGGATTTGGTCAACGGAAACATTGACCAAGAACTCCGTCAAGGGGAGAGCCAAAAAGCAGAACTTCGCAAATCCATCCTAAACACCGGTGTGGATGGTATGAGCGCCAATGATCAACGCGAGATTGATATGGATGTCCAGTTGTTTGGCCAGGCATCCACCGCTGCGCCCAGCGATTACCATTCAGTGTCGAGTCTCCTCTCCGCGATGGAGACAGCCTGTGCTAATATTGAACACGAAATTTCTGGCGTTGATAAGGACGCAAGCACTCTTCTTTCAGAGCTTAATCTCACAGTAGGTGAATTGAGTGATCTGCGCTACGGCAAAACGCAAGGTCCTCTTGGGACAACAAGCGAAGACATGATGAATGAAACTATCGATGGCTTGGAACATCTTGAAAATGCCTGCTACCGTAAATCGTGATGACAGTCACCGTGGCACTCCGAATTTGCAGCTCTCCATGCATGAGTCCTTGGTGTGCTGCTTAGGGCTTTGCAGAATCTTGTCATTGCCTGGTCAGGGTGATGAAGGATGTCTGTAACTTCTTTATGTTCACTATCTTGGAAGAAAGCTTCTGTATAACATTGCTGGAGGCTCGGTCTGGGCTATGAGCTTTTCTGGCTTTTGATCTCCCTCAATTGGCACCTTTTATCACAGTATTTACTGTTCTGTTGGTCAACTTGCGATACCTTGTGCGGCAGCACGGCCTAGAAAAGCCTCAGAACGAATATGGAGAGTGAATAAACTCTATGCGGGCAATACCGATGATTTACGGTCTCTACCGGGCAACAATGGGTGTTACTTTCAACCTGCTGGCTCCTCACGCTTCAATGCCTGCCCCCTGGCTCTTGACTTTCTCGTTGCCAGTCTATACTTGTGTGGTCAGTGATTTCACAAGATGTCCAGCTTCTCTGGACGATTCAGCTCAGCAAGCGCATAACCACTTATATGCATTTAGAACTTCGGCGCACTTTTGGATGGTTGGTTAATCCCATTCAACGGGCAAGGTACAATTGAACAGAATGAAGGAACTGACAACCCGCTATGTGTAGTAATCTAGCCCATGTTTTATTCTGTTGATAGGGTCCTCTATGTTTGAGGTGATGGTGGATTCTACATTGAAATACTTGAACGTGTGGGCGAACAGTTGTCTTGAATGGATGCCCGGGAAGGATTCCTTGTTCGCTGTGTGTTCACAACCAACAATTGGGCCTTCTTATCATGGCCAATTGGTGAACAATACGCCAGCTAGGAGATGCTTCAGCGCCGTCTGTCCTGGACTCTTACCATAATGCAGCCGGGTTTTTGCACCCTACGCCCGTCAGAACATGGCAGAGCAACGGTTAATAACAATCTCTACTGAAATCTGCAGTATACTTCAATAGCAAATAGGTATCATTAGATGGATCAAGACATATAATTGCCCGATTACGGAATTCTGTCAATTGTCAGCTGGGAGGTTTAAATACAATGATATCGAGAGCTATGCTCAGATATTCTCCGGGCAGACAGCTTACCAAAACAGATATATTCAATTTGAACAAAACAGGACATTAGGAGCTTGTCGCGCTCCCTGGATGCGCCAATGCCCTAAGAAAGTATTCGCAACCAAGCTTATGAGAGTAGAATGAGTATTTCCCTTCGGTTGGGCCCAAGCCTCTCCCTTAAGGAAATGCTTTATCTCTCTACTAGGCAACCATTTCCTATTCTTCAAGAATCGATTTTACAAGAATTGGGTTAATGTATTCCACTTTACGCCTTTCTTACTACATGATGATGGTGTCCCAAAAGGAAATACTTAGGGCCACTGATAAGATTGATAAGTGGAGAACCGCCGAAACGCGTTAAATCGCGTCTCCGAATCTCAGCTCTCCACCACTATTCAATCATACTCTTCATCCAAACTGCAGTAATTCCAGGAATACAAAAATTTATATACTTGCAGACCAATTCTCCCTATATACCTTTCTGAGGGAAAGCTACAGCATCAACATCGGACGCACAATGCCAACAATCCCGCTCCACCCACGCGTCTCCTCTCCCACATCTCTCCCCAATCCCCTCCCCCAAGTCCTCCAGACGCCAACTGGACTCGCAATCCTCGAACTCCAAGGGACGATCAACCTCCCATCGCAAGAAGCTGAAGACGAATCTACGAACCCAACCAACGATACCCATGATCCCTCAATCCCCACATTTGAGACCCCAGTTGGCAAGCTCATGTTCCCCGATTATTCGCCGCACAGGACTGCGCCTGATGACACTAAATGGATGAAGAGGGTCTATCTATATGTCGGTCGATACCAGCGCATGACGGGTGAGGTGAAGAAACTGGCGCAGCCGCTCGCTTTGGTGCAGCGGCGGCAAAAAGAGGCGACCTCTGACTCCGATGGCGAGGAACTGGAGATCGTCGAGATCATTAAGTATAAGCTGTTCTTCAAGAATCGGCCCGAGCCTGTCAATAATAGTTGATTTACATCGGCTTCGCACTGCGTTATGAATCGGGTAGAGGGTCGTCTAGACTGGTTGGTGCCTTGGATCCCGTGGTGCCGTATGCTGGCAGACTCGCGACGTCAATATCTACGCGGGCAAACACTGCTGTTTGCTCCCAAAGCTGAGCTGTGCCCTTCTGTCTAAAATGCGGTCGACGACAAAGAGCAAAGGAGCAGTCGGCAGGAGTGTTGCGGTTGGCTTTAGCCTAATAGGCTATGGCATATTACGCCTTCATGTCCTCCGTACAGGACTACTACCTAGGCACAAATTGTCTACTACCGCATCCAGGGCTGCGACTCAACTGGGACAATACAATGGCATACCGGAGAAACCGCCTGTCCTCCCCGACGGAATCTACAGTCAAAACCACCACTAGTCCATTGGCTCTCTTGGCGTATACGCCGGCTCGGTCATAATTAAACACGTGCAAGTAACCCAATGGGACCCAAAACAAATCGAGGTTCAAGCCATCTGATAGTCTCAAGGGACATCATGGAGGGGCACCGCAGCGTCGCTGATTCCGCGGGATCGACAAAAGATATACCCGGACGGAAAATTGCGTCCCAGAACGGACTTCATTCCGCACTATCGCTGCATGAAAGTATCAATTCAAAGCAAGGAAAACAAGCCACCATGTTATCACTATTCTCGGTATCATGCAATGCAATATCTACATGTTTATCCAAAATATATCTCATCGAGTCTTCCGTACGCGCAAATAAGAAGCAACCGCAGCATTGGCAATCTCCATCCGACTCCAACCGATATCCGAACTCCCGTCGGAAGGGAAACGACACAGCTCAATCCATTAAGTTTCACAGCCAACTATAGGAAAAGAACCAAGTAGAAATCCGCAATAATAACTCGGTCCAATACAAGTACGTTCTAAACTCACCCAATTACCCCGCCTTACGCGTCCGTGGATGCGCCAATCATAAATCCGTCCCCGGCGGAAGAGTATATATACTCGGCCATACATCCTTTCTTTCTCCCTTCCGTAGATTTATATCCCCACCACCTCTCTATAAACCTACATTCTCCTACCTGTTCCCAGTACCAACGCCCCAGCTACTATAAACCACCCCACTAGACGAGGAAATACTGGAAAATGGCCCCCATCGAACGCATCACGCTCTTCAACATCCCCAATGAAGAAGACCGGAACCGAGTTCTCGAGCAATACAAGGTCCTAGCGAAGACAGCGACCAAGGTAAATAGTGTTCGGCTGTTTGCGGCTGCCTCGGTGTTTATATAGAGTGGTTGTTAACGAGAACTTTTGTGCAGGACGGCAAACCGTACATTGTTGCTGCCGCAGCGGGACACTCTTTCCCGGATCCCCGCAATAAAGGATACACGCTGTCCGTCAAGACAACGTTCGCTTCGATGGAGGATATGAAGTACTATGATAATGAGTGTGAGGCGCACAAGGCTCTGAAGGCTGTGGTTGGGCCAGTTAAGGAGGATGTTTTGACTACGTACTATGAGAGTGTTCTGTAAATGATTATGGATTTCTTTTTTTGATTTTCTTTATTTTATTTTTATTTTTATTTTTATTTTTATTTTTTTTTTTGGTTCGAGGTTGGACGGGGGCTAGATTGCAAGCCCATAACCTTGAATAGCATGTATTCATGACATATACTGCATAAGTTAGGATCTCTTATTTTGGTAATCAAGAAAATATCCGCTACACTAAGTCAGACACTGAAAGCATCAGAGGGATCAAACAGGGCAAGACCGGATGTGGTCTGGAAATGATCAAGTCACTCATAACATGAAATCGCTTCATAAGATGCCTGCTCATAAAAAATCTCGACACGCTGCCGAGAACTCGCGCTGCGTTGGAAAGGAAATATGATGATACAACAAGCATTTGTCCTTGCCAGAAGGCCTCGAAACGGACAAATCCTGAGCCGCTCCGTCAAAGAAATGTACATGCAAGTCGGAGACCAGGGAAGTGAAGATTACAATCATTGAAACCAGCCAGATGAGGAGGTCCTTCACATTTGGACAGGTGAAATGTACAATAAAAAGCTCACGCAGGAGTGGAATCTAATCGAGGGCCTTGCGGAGATCGCTCCATTTTTGTTTCAGATTCTCGTGGTCTTCATGGATCTGCAGCGAACAAACGTTAGATCGTACTTCCAAAAAGGTAAGTATGCGGTGCGGTTTACCTCTGCCCACTTCATCTTGGCCTCCACGAGTTCTTTTTCCATTTCCGCCATTTGTTCCACCATTGACCGGTTTTCGTTCTGAACCTCCATGTTGCGCTTCATGATGCGATCCATCTCGGTTTGGAGCTTCTCTTCGACCTCTGCTGGCTGTTGATCCACGACAATCTTCAGGTTTTTGACCTGCATATTCAAGGCGTCATTCAGGTCAGTTAGCTCTTCATTCTCTACTTTGAGATGGACAAGTTCGGAAGCAAGGTGGACATGCTCTTTGTCCGACGCCTCGGCTTGTTCTTCCAGTAATCGGATCCGGGCACTCTGTGTGGCTACCGTATGCTTGAGGTTCTCTAGCTCCTGTTCGCGTTCTCTTTCAGTCCGTACTTTTTCCTCCCATTCCGCCGTGTAAGCACGAATCGTCTCACGATCAAGAGGAACAGCACAGGCATCCTGGACCAAGAGGTCCGCGCGATACACTTCCTTGTCGGCAGCCCCCGAGCTGCCGAAGAACCCAGACTCGAGGATCGACGACGCTGAGGGTTGTTTGTCAATGTAGACGTCGAACAAGCGCTCCTTGAGGAACGTGGTCAGTGGAGTCATGTCCTTCATACCCAGAAGCGCCTCGGAGTTTCGATGCATAATGGCGATCGCAAATTTTAGGATTGTATTTTCAAGTCCCTCGTCAAGAATGAGATCGTAGATGCGGAGAACTAGTTGTAGGGGGAAGCGATATGCGAAAAGAGTCAGGAACCACTGCGTGGCATACAACTGCGGGTGTACCCCTCGCCGGCGAAGGTGGCAGTATAAGGCAGGTTCCATGTCCTCGAGCAAGCGTTCGAAAAGGAAAAGGCTGCGGTGCAAACCAGGCATATCGTGGATGAACATCTCCCGTAAGCCATAGTGATTCATCAACTTGACCAGCAGTGTGAATGCTTCGGCCTCATCCATCTACAAGGAATGTATGTTAGCATGGGGCCTTTCTCGAGGCGTGCATTCAGATCACTTACATTAAATAACAGTGGCATAACAATGAAATTCATGCCCTGCGCATACCCCACGGCCTCGTCGTACAGAGCGTACGCTTTACACAAACCAAACAGACCTTCCTGGTTCCCTTGCGACACAAAGTAGCGGGAATAACTTGTGCGAGCACCCAAGTCCCGCCGAATAGTCTTTTCCAGCTTCTGCAGGGCCACACCGTCTTCCTTCTCCTTCTTTTTCCGAGCCGCCTCGCTCGCAGCCTGCTCTTTTGCCAGTTTTTCGGGGTCCACTTCGTGTGAAGGGCTAGGGGACCCGTTGACCGAATGCGCGGCCGACCCAGAATGTTCGGAGCGGATGGACGATCGAGATGAAGATGCGGACTCTTTGTCTCCATTTGTCGTGCCATTAGAAGTCCGGGCCTTTTCCTTTTCTGTGCCACGCGCAACCAGTTCCCGATAAACTTCTTCGAGTTCGGGGTTTCTGCTGTCAGCCAGGACTTGCCAGATGACCCCTCTAATGGTCTGCGGGATTCCTCGTTTAATGGCGGCGTTCAACTCTTCAGAGTTCGCGCCCTTCAGCGCCTGGGGACCACCGTTGACTAGTTGCTGCCATAGTTCCCAATCGACAGGTGCCGCTGCGTCAGTTGCGGAGGCTGAAAATCCAGAAACTGTTCCCGGGGCGAGATTTGGGTTCACCGTCGCTGACACATTCGGCGGCGAGGTTGCTGTTATAGCTGCGGAATCGTTCTCGCCTTCTTCTGGGATGCTGGGGGGCGGGCTTCCTGCGGGTTGACTAATGCTTGCACGTCCTGACGCGACACTTGCTTCGTCATTCTCCGAAACTAACCCTTCATCCCGCATTCTGAGCATTTTAAACTGATCCTTCAAGCTGTTACGAGCCGGCTTTCGAGACCCCGTGCTCGCACCATCCTGATCCTCACCATCCTGTGTTCGGCCGGCCATCTCAGGATTACTGGAGATTGTGGATATAGAAGCGGCCGTGCTCCGGCGACTATTTTGAGGTGGTGATTTCGTCTCTTTGCTTCCCGTCGAACTCCGAGTAAGCCAGGCAAACGGGCCTGTGAGCTTTCGAGCTGGTGGTGGTGGCGGTGCAGCAGGGGCTGTGTTCTTGATCACGGGAGGAGCAGGATCTGACAGGCGAGGATTCTGAGCCGACATCGACTCCACAGAGGATAATGGAGGAGAGCTAGGGGTGTGGCCCGGGCTTATATCATGGTTGTCGAAGGACTCATCATCTTTGTTGTTGCTAGCGAGATTCACCTCGGCGAGGGAAGTGGTAGACAATCGGTGAGCCGTCAACAGTGGGGATTTCTGTAATTTTTGTTTGCGAGGCGTTTCCTCTGCTTCCGACCGTGTATCCGAATGAGCATCAACTGTCTCTCCATTTGTCTTCACTTCATCCTGGTCAGCAGTTGGCAGCGAGGGCGCATCGGTTAACTGAGGTGTAGTAGCCGAAGCGCTCGGGGGGCTGTCTGTCAGGGAGCGGGTAGAGGAACTCTGGGGGATCGACACGGTGAGATTGTTTTGAGATGTTGGAGCTTCCAGGGCATCGTCGAAGGTATCCTGGTCAAAGAGTCAATGAGTTTAGATTCTTGAAAACCATGGAGCGCTGGTAGTATCTTACTCCTTCATAGTCTCTGCTACTCCGTCTAGACATGATGAACCGGAGCCCCCTGGGGCAGTTGAATAAGTCTGTTCAAGATGTTCAATCAAAAATTTTAGGATCACAGTCGGTATTGGAATATAAAAACAAGGTATAAAGGGTGATCAGAAGAACGGGAGGGCCATGGCAAGCAGGGGGAAGGAGGTTGTAAGACAGAGTGGAAGCCACCACGCGGTTCGGTTTAGTTGTTTAGTTGACGGAGAAGGGGTTGGATATGGAATGGGCCCCAACAGCCACCAGTGGAAATGGGCCACTTGAAGGGGGTGTCAAAAGGCAGAAGGAATTTCGCTACGAAGGATTCAAGATAAAAATATCAAATAAACCAAGACACTAAGGTTCGGGGTATATGACTGTTCTGCAGACTTGGTGAATAATTTTTAATTTTTGTTTTTTTCTTTTTTTTCTCTATAGTATGTATGGTGTGTTATTGAGGAGACTCGACAACTTCCACTATCTCAATGGAATCTTTGGTAACGTTGGTTGATTTGCTGGTGAAAGCTTGGCGGGTCTAGAGTTCCGGTCAAACGTTATAATCCATGCGTGCTTTCTTTTCCCTTTTGTTTCTTTTTTGATTTTAAATATTATTCGATTGTTCTTTCGATTCCTTTTCACTATCGATGATCGCCCTGTCCGGATGTACATGCGGTTCAAATTCCAATGTTGTATGTATATACCTCGTATTTCGACTACTAGTTTAGTATCTACTAGTAAGTATCAAATGTTGTAAGTAAGCATTCCTGAAACTCCCCTGAATTTCGCTCATCCACGGATGAAAAAAACCTATTGGTCCCCACAGCCCAACTAAACACTCCTACTATAAGGATCCTCCAAACTAAACGACCGGCTAACCACCACCAACAATTCGGCCTATAGGAATTACAGGGAGCTGACCCGATGGAAAGGTAATTCCGCACTTTGCGTTCTATGATATGTTTATACAGAAATAGTGAAGTAAGGGGGTGCTCCCCTATCTGCAGAGTGAACGCTCAAAATCCAGCCACCGTCCACGCCGAAGCGGGTCTATTTTCTTCAACTCCGAGATCCAGCTCAAAACCTTTTGTTGATCGCCGCTGGACATGGTGCCTTCAATTTTCGACGCCAACAAGGTACAGTCGATTAATGCTTGGTAGATATACTTACAATCCTCCGCCCCGTCCAGCATATCCTGAATCTCCTCGATCTCTTGGCGAACATAGTTCAACCGCTCCGGCGGACTGAGGTTCGGTGCCATTGTCTGCCCTGATGTTGCTGGGTCAAATGTGCACATTAAGTTTTGGTGATAAAACCATAGTGACTGGTCATATGGGTCACACAGGGCGCGATGGATAAGCTCCAGTTCTTAGTTGCATTAGCGAAGAAAGCGATCATTTCTTATGTAAGACAGAGACACGTACCGTCATTGAGCATCTTCCTTCGTTCCGCATCAGTGGCTGATTTCTCATTGAGCAATCGCTGGATAAGCTTCGTCCGATAATGCCACGCGGAAAAGTTAGAGAGATTGGTCCCAATCATCTTCTTCGCATACTCGAATTCTGCTTGCGCCATACTCTCCCCCTGTTCTTCGGATGCCAGTGTTTCTAACGTGTCCACGACAACTCGTCGGTAGCCCCAGCCATGGAAGTTTCTGCTGTCTAGGCGAAGCATTTTGCCCACAAGTGCTAACTCTTC